TAGTTCACATGTAATCATTTTTTAAAAAGAAATTGATTTAATTGGTAAATTTTGATCTATGTAGTTATATAAGTTTTATTCAATTTGGATATACATGTGGTTATTAACTGAAATTTTTCATGGCGATGCCCTCGACAAGGGTTGAAGTACCGCAAATTATTCCATGTCTCTCAAGTATGTTAGTATTTACCAGTTTTTTAATCGACGTATATTTGTCCTTTTAAGTGACGGCTAAATTCCAGTACAATCGCCACCGACTAAAGGGACTGTGTAAATCCAGCTAGGGTCCATGCAGGTTGCAAGGGTACTGTAAGTCCCCATGGCTCCTAGTATGGTGATCTACCTTCATTTGCTGGAGATCTACAGCCCATTTTTACAATGTATTGTTGTTTACTAATCTATTCTTTTAAATGCGATCAGCTAGTTCTACCTTATACCTGTGGTACTATAGTAATTCTACTGTCCATCGCTGACAGATTTCTTTCCTAATAAATCAAATATTTATGTTCAAATTCTCGTCACGATATGGCTGAAAACTGAAACATTGCTGATGTGACGTTAAATGTTAAGTCACTCACTCACTACTCTCAGAATGCACATCGTACAAACCAGATTTACCTCCCTTGATAACCCCGGTTACACAGTGAATGAAGCTTCTGGCAAATCTCCACAAATGAGCTACGGTTTGACATAATTTATTTTCTAAATTCCAGTACCTTTGAACAATGGTTTATACATTTGTTACTGGTGCTAGATTATTGCATTGACATAGTGACATATATACACATGTGTATATAGTTTGGCCTAGTCCTTTGAGTTACATGTACCATGTCGCAGTTTAACAGGAATTACTGTGCTTTTTGTTCTCCTCATACAAATCTCTCACAGGGCGAAGTCTATGACAACTGCATGCCTGAATATTTGAACAATGGTATCATGTGCAGTAAAAGTATTTGTACTTGTAATAAAGTAAGGAAAAAACGGATTGTTCGGAGACCCCAAATCTGACTGCTATATATTTCTGATAAAACGTATCGTGGACGTTGCTATTTGTTTCATTATCTGAGAGGCATTTCCACTTTACATACACAAAAGCCTAGCCACTTATCAGGTGTAACTTACACAAAGCCATAATCAATGTGTATTATGCTTTCCCCCCTAAATCCAGTCTCTATCTAAATATCTGGTGTTTGCTGTTCATGCTCGTTGTAACACAATCAACGAATTCTATAAGGAAGCTACTTTGCATTCCATATTATTTCATATCCTGTTTTATTACCGATTCGTTTACTTTTCTCATTATTTTCTTTGCCTTGTTGCACATATGACCTAAATTGAGTCTTTATTTCACACCATTATGAGCTATAACTTTCTAAGAAAACATTTAATGATATCAAGGTCACGACAGACGAATTGTTTGAGCTGTATGGGGTCTTTACATTGATAGAATTTCCATGTTCTGCCATTAGGACGATAGCCGTATCATTTGAAATTGAGTGAGTGAGTGAGTGAGTGAGTGAGTGAGTGAGTTTAGTTTTACGTCGCACTCAGCAATATCCCAGCTATATGGCGGCGGTCTGTAAATAATCGAGTCTGGACCAGACAATCCAGTGATCAACAGCATGAGCATCGATCTGCGCAATTGGGAACCGATGACATGTGTCAACCAAGTCAGCGAAACTGACCATCCGATCCCGTTAGTCGCCTTTTACGACAAGCACAGTCGCATTTGAAATTGACCCCTGAAGATCCTGGTTAGAATTGATCTTAACCCATGCTTGTCACAAGAGCCAGCTAAAGGAATCTTGTGATCAGGCAGGCTGACTTGGTAGACACACATCATCGTATCCCATTTGCGTACATATATGCCCCTGCTGTTGATCACACATCGATGCTCATGCTGTTGATCACTGGATTGTTTGGTCCAGACTCGATTATTTACAGATCGCCGCCATATAGCTAGAATATTGCTGAATGCGGCGTAAAACTAAAATCACTCACTCACTCACTTGGATTTAATATGATAAATAGAAATTATATATATTTTCATTGCCATTCGATACCTGAAGCCTAGTACTTTAATTTCATCAAATATATGTATCTACCTGGAACTGCCTACATAACACACCAATAAACGTACATATTGAGGGCATCTCTTAAGAGGAAGTAGCCTTGGTAAACAATATACAGTATACCCTGGTTATAAGGCCACTGTTTGTCCAGGTGAAAATATGGCATTATATCCAGGGTGGCATTATAACCGGGTAGGACAGTTAGAGGCCCTATTCAATCAACAAGGTCATTGAGCCGATGTCTCCTGTAATGAATCTTGAATGGATAATTCCAGCGTCTAGGGGCTGCAGGTGACTTGTTGTTGTAAGTGGCAGGAAGTGTATTGTCACATGTGTTATCCCATCTGAGATTACAAGACTACTTAAAGCATTAATAAGTTTGGTCAAGTAACTTGAGTCAAGTCAGTTAACTAATTAAGGTATGTATAGTACATGCAGCCAGTATAACTGGCATTATAACTAGGGAAAAAGACTTTAAAAATGACTTTTGTTTCAAGAACCATTGGCAAATGCCAGTTTGGCATTATAACCAGGGTATTATATAGGCAGGAAATCCGGCAAAAACATGGTATTATATCCAGTGTGATATAATAACCAGGGGTGTTATAACCACTGGTGTAATGCAAAGTAGAAAACGAAAAACTAGATCAGGAAAAATCAATTTATTATTCAACGAAACATAACTTAAAACGGGTGCAATGCGATATGATATACTGTGCTATTAAATCAATAAAGCACATCCTTCCTTCCTTCCTTCCTTTCCAGAATCATTACATATTGACGTCACAGTCACGGGATGTAAACCGGAACATGAGTCCCATTTAGACAATGACCTACTTTTCAGCCGATGCGAATTTTCTCTTGTGAAAGTGAAAAGAGACACTATGACAACTATGATTACACTAAATTCCAATTCCTTGTCCCATAAGAAACTGTTTTTTACAAATGAATTTTAATTTTAAACTTTAATAAAATCGAATTTCTATATTTCGTGGCGCGGTTTAGGCAGCATGACCTTAACTAGGACGTCACAGGCTGCCCTTGTTTGATGAGGTCGTAAAATGAATCACAATTCATCTGGCTCACTGGTTACACCTGTTATCTGTCATTTGCGCTTATTCAATGAATGTTTGTAACATACAGTGTGATTGATATGATATCAAGTCCGTACAAAACCGCCAAACGTTTCTCGCGGTCGAGCCTCGTTTTGAGATTTCCACGATTTCCAGATTTCCGTTTGTTAGAGCACGCTGTACGACAGAACACGCTGCACGACGTGTTTGCAAGGATTAGAAAGAGCGTAGTGTTGCAATATACAAGTGATTAGATGTATCAAATAATGCTGATTAATATTTATATATCCAGTTGAATGAAGTTGTCTTAACATTCTAGACTGGTTATTGTAAAAGGATATGATATTGTAATATTGCGCAATATGACGGAGCACAGGCAGCAGGAAACGAGACTGTTGTGTGATCAATGTTCGCTCCAACGTGATGTACCGTAACTAGACTTCTACTTACACTTAGTATTGCAAATATAACATCTCTATCCTCTTTCCACTTAAATACATTTGATTTGCTATACAAAGATACCTAAGAGGGTCTTCTAAAAAGTAGTATAAGAACAAAACGAGGAAATTTCAAAACCACGTAGACTTACATGTATCGAACCTTTGACAGAAACACTCAGCAAATAGTGCTTCTCAGTATTTCTATAGTTAACGTATTACATTATAATTGTAAGGTAAATATATTTCAAATGTCCCTTTTCCTTAACATATGGTTACGTACTCGTACCATGTTCCTACGGTCACGCTTCTGTGATGATTTACTTCAACATACATTATATACAACCTAAGTACTTATATTCATGTTGCTGGTATAATTCAAATTAATTATCGCATGATCGGTTTGTTGGGATGTCGGTTTTGTTTTCAACATTGACGGTTTTCAACATTTGCTGCGGCTGCAAACATATGTGATAAGATAATGCCACTATTTCCCTCACATATTTCAACTACGATCTCACTGTCAATGCTTTTGACATGATGCTATATATCGTCATGTAAAGTCGGCTGACGAACTAACATCCTTGTCATTGTCAGGGAGGGAAATCCCCTGTGAGTTCGAGGGAAATGTAAAGATTGTATCTCACCATATTGTTCCTCCTTGATCTGATATTGTTGATATAAACAACGTCATCATTTTATTACAAATTGCAGCTAGGACTTAGTAGAAGCAGTTATGGCATACCAACTGGTGAGACAAATATTTGGAATGGTATCCGTTGGTTCCAAAAGGGCAAGCTCTATTTGCAGTAACAACGTATCAAAAGGCGTAAGCAATACATTATAGATAGTGACATGATGGGCGTTTTTGTCAAGTATGTACACAGAGGGAAGGGCGAGGGATTATTGAGGTCAATTCGCGACAGAGCCTTATACAGTAGATCAGGGGTTCCTTTAGGTCGAACGTGACAACCTCAACCTCCACACCAGTTTACAAAGCCTACAGCAATTCGCGAACATAAAACGGAATACATTGAATATATGGGGGGTGACAAACCAGTTTTAAATATACTCATTGTAGAATAAAGGCAAAAATACATATGCATATATTCGCTCCTCGTGGATCACTGTAATTTCCAATACCTTACGCTTCTATTTATGCAATTATGCACAGAGTTTTATGAAAATATACATATAAAAGTATGTACATAGAAGATATTTACACAAACATTGAGGAGCACGATTGCCATGTAATTAAATTTTACCACAACATAGAAGTTAGTATCATTTGAAATAATGGAGTAATCGGAATCTTAACTGTACATGATACATAAACAATTGTCGTGCGAGATTGTTGACTTGGTTCAGTTAGAATAGTTGCATACTGCGAAGACAGGATGATGGAATATGAAATTAAAGAAGACAGGTGTCACATCGACACATATATTGTAGATATAACATTTGAGTTTACAGTACACATGGCAGGAACAGTTTTCATCAAAGCGACAATATCAACCTGGCTATTGTTCACGCTGTATATACCAGACGTATGCATGTATCTCTCCTTCTTATCCATTTGCTATGGGTAGGTCTATACAATCAAAATGAAAACAATGAGCTGCCCTGCAGATATAACATCACTATATAAGGACACACAAGTATCGAAAATTAAGAAGTATAACTACTAAGAATATTTAAGTTCGATGGACAGTAGGTAGTACAGTCTACTTACTGTAAAAGCCAACACCTTCTGGATAGTCACTTGTATAAAAACAGTCAGTTTTAACGTGTCTCAATCCACACCACTCACCAGTTTCGTATCTGAACACACACATTGTATCAGCTTCAGGATAACTGTAAGATAATTACAAAGTATAATTACCCTGGCTGTGTTACTTTTACAAATTCGTGACTGATGAAATGGATAATGTAGGTAAATCAGATGTTTTGGTAATCTGGAGTAGCCGTTGGCCCATGTGTAGTATCCTCTTGAGATCTTGAGGTCTGTTCGATAATGGCATAATTGTTGGCATCAGCCTCAGCTAACAGGCCGGAGTAAGTGGGGTGTTCAACAGAAGCTGGAGTGTCTCCTTGTTTCTTCGCAGTCAGATCGTACCGACGTCTGAAACGACAAGTAACGTGTCATGTGAATTTCGTTTAAGCATACTTAAGGAAATATCCAATCATTGATAAATGGTTTAATCCCATTCTTGGTGCGAATTTTTAGGATGGTTTTGCAAACGTAAAGACAGTCACACATATCCCAAATGAGATACACAGGATGACTGTAGTATTTCATAGTATAGTGTTCACTGGATGAAGCCGGAAGTGTAGAGAGTGAATGTACTTTACAATATACCTGATAACGAGGACGTACACTGCAAGACCGACCAGGATGACAATAACAGCTCCGGCAGCCACCCCTCCCATAAACACACCAGCTGAAACAAAAAACAGACACTTTGAATTGAACAGAGATCAATTATTTCTGACATTTTATTGAAATAACATTTAACACAGTCCAGAACATGAGTCTTTCCCATGAACTTGGTCAACAGTGTTTTTACTTCACAAGGCCAACACTACTTGACATAGAGGACAAATTTCAATTTTGTACAAAGCTAAAACAAGTTGAGGCATGAACACGCAAATGTCATTTTTCAGCTGAATGTTTTAAGCTATCTTGATGGAAAAAACTTTTGAACATGAAAATGTTGTCATCTGTCTGAAGTTTTAAAACACTGTGTATAGGTTCCTGCGCATTGTATAGTCCATACCTGGGAATCGTGAAGGGGAGGATACGGGAAGTCGATCCTTATTTGGAAAAGTTGTGACCTCTCCTGTGGAAACATGTTTATGTCCAACACACAATATAAAACATAGCCAATGTAATCGTTACTGAGGAACAAGTCTTAATGTTAATCGTAACTCAAAATAACAATTATTTAAAACACACCTTGTCACATCATACTTTTATCATACTATCCCAAGAGCGTCTTTAAATGTACACCTGGACGTGAACAAAAATATCATCACTGAAATTTGGGAGGATTATATTTATGGTTGTGTTTGAGTAAGATAACCTTCTCTGCCACAAGAATATATACGTAGATAAATGAATGTACACTATGTCAAATATAGAAGTTGTGCACACAGGGGATAAGGTGGTCGTCGCAAATCACTGACTAAACCAATGATTCGAATCAGGTTTGAATTTGTTTCTAGGTTTTGGCAGCTTGAATATTCAGTTGTCAATAATTCTAGATGATCGAGAGAGTGTTTAATGCTCAATGAGAAGAGTTACCTGTTGTTGATGTACTGTCTGTTCTACTCCCCCACTGTCACACTACTGGATGCCAGAATCTGAGCTGTCACTGTGGTAAAAGACACAATGATTGTTTTCACTACCAAGGCTTTTAGTTCATATAACCAAAGTATTGTTGAAACCGTCTTTAAAATCAGCTTGCACCCATCATATTGACAAAAGCAGTCTCTGTCAAACAATACCGCCAGACCTAAGCCGAGATAAAGCCACAATATTGTTAAAACGGCATCAAAACCAGCCCGCACTCATTAAAATGACGAAAAAGTATTTGCCATAAATACCGCCAGTCCTAATTTATTCACCAAATTATTCACCATATCGTATAAAGTGTCATACAAACTTAAATATTGAGCTGCCGATAATTCTTTATTATGGAGATCGTGTTAAATGCTCAATGAGAAGAGTTACCTGTTGTGGGTGCACTGTCTGTCCTACTTCCTACTGTCACACTACCAGCTATCACAATCTGAACTGTCACAATGATTGTTTTCACTAACTGGGACCATGGGACTTGTGAAACATACATGCACTGGACCGCATTCAGAGTTACGCCCCTTAGTTTTCTGCGGACGAGCAGGTTCGAATTTCGATGAAGATTGTTGTCTCTCGGGAGACTATAAATGGTCGCCGATCCACCAAATAGGTAAAGTCTACATATGACATCATTTCAACTTGAACTCGCCTAATCACTCAGGTTAGTAGCTGTAACGTCGGGTTAATTAGCCCGATCAAATATTTCTTAAATGATGTCAATGTCAGATATCTAACACAAAACCATACAGCCATGTCTGCATGCTATTTCTTTAAAATGCATAATCCTACACAATCCTACACAACCAAACACACTCAAACACAATCCTTTATGTTCAAACACAACCCTACACAATCAAACACAATCCTTAATATTCAAACACAACCCTACACAATCAAACACAATCGTACACAATCAAAGGACGAAGCTTCGCTGAATTCTAAAGGAGCTATTATTATTAACAACCTAATGTGTTGTTATGGTTACGAACGACTATGAATGAGAGTGTGCAGGCAAACCAAAGCCTGAATTCAAAATATTGAAAAAAAACAGTCACTGTATTAGCAATGACACACTGTGGAACCTAATTAAATCTAACCAAGGTTGTTTGCTTAAAATGTTCAATCATATTGAAGTGTCGCGCTTCTAAAAAATATGTAACCAGACTCACCAGTTGGTCGAATCAAAACTGTAGTACTGCAATTGATAACGAAGTTTCTTGTGGCTAAAATAGGAATGCATTCATCAACTGACAATACAGAATTGACTGTACATGTACTCTCTGAAGGTCTGAAGTTGTAGGATTTGACTCGGTTGAGTGATTTTACATGTGAATGGCAGCGGCCTTTGTACGCATGCCAAAATACAATGTTTTTTCTTTCATGAAGCAAGATATGATATTTAAGGAACAGAATCAAATTTGACTTTGAGATTAATTTACTTCACAGATCGTTTGACAAATTGTTTCAAATAAAATTCTGCCCCTGGTAAATATACTGTAGAAAAATGTTTACAGTAACGTTCATGTCGATGAAGGAGTATGCTGTACCGCGTCAAACAAATAATACGCCCATTATTACGCAAATTTTGTGAATGGCGGGAGCAACCGGTGGGGCAATAGATGCTTACCCTTATAGCGAACACCACGTGTCATCACTAATTTTCTGTGATCAATTCATACAATTTTCCCCTCAACGTTTACCCCTACACCTTGCGGAGTTCGTTTCTGGGGATAGTCACGAACGTATACGTTTGCAATGAGGTTGTATATTTAAACACAAACTTACAAGCGATTCCAAGCCAAACAACTGGTCGTGTTCCTTCCGTAACTGCAAGTGTAATGTGTGACTGTCCAGGTGATTGAATTGTTTGGAGCTGTTTATAGGGCCAAATCTCGTCTGAGCAGGAATACGGTGTCATAGTAATGGTCAAACGGGAACACCTTTCGGGTTCATTCCCATCTCCAAGACGTATATCAAGAGCGGTGATATTTACAGGCATCTGTGACTGAATTGTACAAGTATGCTTGGAACTGGGTATGTCATCTGTATGCTTGTAGATGATAGTGGTTTCAGATGCATTCCGTTGTGAGGCTTCATCGATGGGTGTAATTGAATCTCCTATAACATATGAACGTTCAGTGGATGAGTTTGTAAACCTTAAAAAAAAACGTGCACAAATATGTTATAAATGTAACGCTTATGTACAGTGTGGCCTCTTTTGATACATACTTGAGGCGCAACATATGGACATCTCATCTGTATGCTTGTAGATGATAGTGGTTTCAGATGCATTCCGTTGTGAGGCTTCAGTCATGGGTATAATTAAATCTCCTGTAACATGTGAATGCTCTGTGAATGACTAAATAATCTTCCATAAAAAGTTTGCATTTGTTAAATTTGATTTCTTTTCAGTTAACAGTTTCCAAAACTGATGTCTGAAATTTTCTTTTTCTTCTGTTCTTGATCATAAGGGTAAAAATATACTGAGAGAAACATATAAAGGAACGCAGGAAAGTTCAAGCGTTCCTTCTTAAAAACGTAATTATGTTGTACAAATAATGGTGTCTTTTGGTACATACTCTTAACATGTGGACCTGAGGCAACAGTGATTATGACCTACGGCCCTAGTAGAGCTTATGTCACCCGTACATAGGCATAGATAACCATCTATTTTACACGTTGTCTTCACATCGTGTCTCGTAGATAATAGCCCCAAAATATGTACAAACTGAACCGTTTCGGGTCATGGGATGATTACCTTTTTTACGATTTTGATGATTATTCACTCATTACCTTGGGAAACACTTATTTCGGATATCTTACAACAGATATATAGCATGTTCATTATTCCGATACTGCTCATGAATTTAACATGTAAATGGTTAAACTCTGATGAAGAGGGATTTCATCTATGTACAGTTAAATTTCAATATTATCTACATTATTTAATGTAACCTTAATTCTAAATTTTAGTGTCTCCGAAAACACACATACCTTCAATGCACAGATATTTGACAAGGGAGAATGTATCGGCTGCATCACTCCGGGGAGCCTGATACCCACATTGGTTCTCTGTAGAACAGTTGTTGTAGAGGGAGATGAGCTCGGTTTTGTCGAAGGTGAGACTGCGTCTACTTACTGTCACATTGTCAGGGTTTACAGCTTGGCAGTTATTGATACCTGTACCACATTCTCTGTTGAAGGTGAAGTAGGCGTCAACGATGGCGATCTTCTGGGTGGGGTTGCATCTGATGCTGTGCTTAGTGCAGGGAAGGCCAACAGCACCATAACAGGCTCTACTCGTCTGGATCTCTACATGGAGAAATGGTCACACTTTTATCATATTTTAAATATATATTTAGTGCAGCAGTCTTATAATGACTTCGTTATTGGAGTTCGTCTCCATCCAAAGGGAAAACATTCACATCAATCAAATCAAATCATGAGGATGTCATCATATATTTGACATCCCCCTAACTATCCACCGGTTTATACTTGAATTACAAACAGATTGGAGACAGGCAGTTTACGGTGAAATTCCATCCACGGTGAAATACTGACAACAACTAGCGAATGACATTTCAAATAAGACATAGAACATTTACATGTACAACACTTGTTTATGATAGAAACGCATGACGAATCATATCAGCAATAAGTGAGTGAGTGAGTGAGTCAAAATTTAAAGTCACTTCAGCACTATTTCGTACTAGAATATAGAAGACTCTACTATCGATAGAGAAAGTGTCTTCTCAAATATAACATATGCTTAATTTGACTACTTTCTATATTAAATTGTGCATTCATAGCTTTCGGTCGTGGAAGACGTGGGAACCGTGCCAATTTACACTTCCTAAAGGGATAGGTACACGTGATCAAGAGTACCAGTTGTCCAACTTCCGATTTTGCGGAAGCCGCGGTGGTTGAGGTATTAGATCCCTGACTCTGAGAGTGTAGGTTCGAATCCCGAATGGAACTCAACCTAGTTCACGCTTGTACACAAATCCATAAACACGTCACATTGAAGAGCGATTTTATGTACACATTTCAGCAATACAATACTATTTAAAATAACCCAGGCTATCACAACATTATTTATGATTTGAAACATGGGTTAACACGATATTACAGTAATAATTATAATAATGATAGATGATGTACGCCTCTCCGTTGGGGGGCCTAGATAGGGGAATTATTTCCTGATCCAAACGTGCATCACCCAGTTAGTCCACATCATGTCACACCACACCACACCACCACACCACTACACCTTGCCACCACACCCACACCACGCCACCCCACACCACACCCCATCACATCACACCACCACACCAGTTGTAATTCACTGGATTACCGAAAGCCCAGTCAGTCTTCCTCCGGTACTTTGAAACAAACCATACTGGAGATGGGGAGGCTGCAGGGAAGACACATAACCCGACCAAGAATATCTTGGTCAAACCATCTGAGAACGACACTACTTGAGTGTGCGAGAGCGACAGGATGGCCTGAAACTTCACGTATCAATGGCAAGACGCTTAAGCTTCATTGGGACAATGCCATGCCCATGTATGCTTACCTGACGGAGCAAAATCTCCGAGACCAGTTCCGGCGTCTTAAAATTTCATGCGCCGTGAGCCAGTTCAACCCACAAACTGGTGCCCGTCAGGAACCTTTGCATGAGCAGAATGCTCAAGTGGCAGCAGCCCCTAAACTTCTTATGGATGTCCGCGTGAACCTCTTTCCGAAACAAACTCTTCCGGCATAGAGCTAATTGGCCCCGACATTTCTTACCCTCACTCTTCCTCTTCCTCAGTTGCAGATCTTTCTGAAAATCCTGTGTATATTTTGTTTTATTCTATTTATGATGGAATATCTAACCTACCTTTAGAAAAACGGAGGCCAATTAAACAAACGAATGAATCTTTTCCCAAAAATGAAATTAATTTATTAAATGACTTATTTCTATGAAACTTTCTGCCGATTGTTCATCACATGAAGTTAATGCCGCTCGTACCTTGGAGGAACTTCACACAGTTTCCAAAGAAAAAATACTAAGAACAATACACCAATGAAAAACCGATTTCAAGTAAAACTAACGGAAACTAGTAAATACATTTCCTGGATAGAGCTGTGCCTGAAGTTAAGATCATCAGGGAGTCCAATGTCAAAACGGCAAAAGGCAATTTGGAGAAAATTAAAACTGAAATACAAAAGAACGAAAGAAAAGATATTTCGAGTTGTCGAGTCCCTTAAGGCCAAAATAAAGGTTTGGACTGAAAGAAAGTAAAACTGGGAAAAGAAAAATATCTTTATGAAACAGAATAAACGTTTACAGGCAACTCAAATCAAAGGGTGATGGTGAGCATGATAGACGACCTCCCATGGATGCCAATGAATGGTTCTGGAAACAGTTGTGGTTTGTACCCGGCGACTGTAACCTGGGGGCACTATGGGTCAGTGATTACGGTCATGCAATGCATGAGAAAATAGCTGGGTCGTTTGTCTGTTATATATCACCAGATTGACAAACTCGTGTCATCTTACTGCTTTTCCAATGATATAGTTTACAGAGAGCAGAAGAGAGCGAGAAAGGGATGTTGGGGGTGCAAGGATCAACGTCCTGTATAGAAAATTATTTTGGAAGAGACTAAACCATATCACCGCAACCTCTCCATGCGCTGGATTGACTACAAGAAGCATACGAATCTGTCCCTCACGAATGGATTCTGAAGTATGTTCATTGTATTGACCTCCCTGAGCGACAACTTGATATACTTAAGTCTTTAATGAGTTCGACTCAACTTGAGATGTACTCGAAAGGGCAGGTGCTTCAGAATCTATTCCCATCAGAAGGGGAATATTCCAGGGTGACTCCTTCAGCCCTCTGCTTTTTTGGTTGTCTTTAAATCTTTTGAGGTTTCTGCTCAATAAAGAGGAGGATTACCATCCCGGACCTCCTCAGCACAGATCCCCAACACCACTTACTCATCCCCTCTACATGGATTATATTGAGCTCCTTGCCAAAGGAGATGCCAATTTGAAAGAGCAGGTTCTCCTTGTCGAGTCCTTTTCTAATGATATTGGCATGACATTTCGACTCGACAAATGTCATACCTTTCATTTGAAACGTGGCAAGGTAACTAATGATGGATCGGTCAAGTTACAAGGGGGAAGAGTTTATGAGCATCTTGTGGAAGATCAGGCCTACACCTATCTTGGAATGCCAGTTCGAGACAACCATCAGAATGCCCATATTCAAGACAAAGTTTGGGCCGAGTAAAAATCGCGCTTAAAGATAATCTGGAGCTCAAAGCTAAATGCTCGAAACAAGGTCAAAGCCACCAATACTTTTCCTGTGCCAGTCCTCTCCTAGTTTTGAGAATTTTGACCTCCTGACCAGAAGGATCATGTCTGATAACATGGCCCACCGCCCTCGTTCCTCTCTCAATCGTTTATATATGCCAATCAATTCTGGAGGTCGGGGTTTGATTAATGTGGAGGCTCTTCCTGGTAGAATTTTTTTGTGTACTTTTGCACGTATTTATTTACCGGATGATCCTCTGGTGATGCATGTCAAGACACGTGATGAAAGCAAGGAATTCCACAGCTATTTTAAGCGTGCCAAGGTTGTTGGACAGAATCTGAAATTTGAGGTTGATTTTGTTGATGGCGATGTACTGCTGGACAGTACAGTGATGGGAGTAAACCAGGTGAAGTTATTCACCAAGTCTGCTCAGAGTCGGTCGGTGGAGAAGCTTTCTGAGAAACCATTGCATCGTGTGTACATGCAGTGTGTGGAACAGAATAGCAATTCGACCGACTCCTTCGCCTGGCTGAAGTCGGCTGGTCTCAAATGTGAAACTGAGGGCTTCCTTTTTGCTGCTCAGGAACAGTACCTTCCCACTCGCAATCGCCAAAATGTGATTCTTAAACAAAATATTAACATGAAATGTCGACTGTGTAATGAATTTACAGAGACTGTCCAACACCTTGTCAGTGGATGCCCTTCCTTGGCACAAACAGCATATCTTAAACGACATGATGGCATGGCTCGCTGCTTCTCCTATCGTCTTAGCCATGCCTGTGGCTTTGGTTTGGTAGACTGTCAGTTTTACCTGAAGTCATGGCGATGCATACTATAGAAATGATCCCTAAAAGTATGATCCATCCATGGTACGACCCTGAACATGTCCAGGGCGTCATGGAAAATGATGCTTTCAAGCTTCTGTGGAATAGGCGCATATACAACCTGAGAATAATTCCAGCCAACAAACCTGATCTTGTCCTTTTTGAAAAAGCCAATGAATTTATTTATATCATTGAATTTTTTTCTGTCCCCTTCGACAGCAATGTGATTGGCAAGATTCAGGAAATACATTCTAAATATACGGACCTCGCCTTTGAAATTTATCGCTTGCATCACAAGTACACTGTCGTCAGGCTCCCCATTGTTCTCGGTACCCTCGGTTTGGTACCTCCTGAACTCTTGGCGCAGATCAGGGAAGTGCCTGGGTTCTCCGCCGGGAGCGCAGCCCTTCTGACACTCTGGGTAATGCAGAAGGCTGCAGTGTTGGGGAGTCTACATATTCTTCGGAAAGTTCTTTGGGGGTTCGACTAGGCAGCGTTTCCTGGGAGAATCACTAATAATTTGTTTTGCTCCTAAAACACACTTGATTGGCTAATTACATTTACAATATTTAAAATAATTTTCAAAGCAACAATGACAGATTTGCACTAAGTTCAAGAAAAGCAGCCCCCATTGACATAACGAGCACTACTTCATTTTAAAAACCATTGGAAGTAACAAAAGACCAGTGAAGTCTGAAATAGAGTATAACATTTTCTGCGCATGCTTAGACTAATTTACTTTCTACGCATGCACACCGGTAATCGAAAAGTGCGACAACGCATTGTCGCGCATTTTTAGGCTTGTTTCACACATCTTAGATGGGCGACAACGCGACATATTTTGACCTTGAAAATTGTCGCATTGTCACCCTTTGGAGGAATAGAAAAATATTATTCAAAACGCGACATGCGACATCGCGACAATGCGACAAATGGCCGCGCTTTGGTTAATTTGGCCTCATTTCACTTGTTTTTGAGAGGGCGACAACGCGACAATGGGACAACGTCCTTCCAGGATTCCATACTCAACCAAGTTAAATAACCCTATTTAAAATAACCCAAGTTATCACAGCGTTATTTATTATTAACATGGGTTAAAACAATACTACAATAATAATATGAGGATATAGTTAAAATAATATTAATTGAATGAAATGTTGTAATAAACGTTAGACAACAGTTATAAACCCAGCTAATAATATGTTAAATACATGTTTTGAAATGGTTGTGTTGAATAACATACCCATAAGTACGGCAGTCTGGAGAAGACACGCTGCCAGGCATATGACTCGCCAAGCCATGAACATCGTGGCTGACATGATCCAGTGTTGAGTAATGTTCGCAACCGTTATCTATTCACATACATGTACACATGTACACAGATGATGCTAAGAAGGAAGTAGAAGTTTCCTGACATGCATGATGACTCGTATAATAACCATATACATCCCTGTCTGTGTGAGGCCCGTGGTGGATCCGGTTAGAATTGGATTAGTAGACCATGCCAGGGATAGAGTGGTCAGGCTCGCTGACTTGGTTGACACATCGTAGCCCAATTGCGTAGATCGATGCTCATGATGTTGATCACTGGAGCCTGGTCCAGACTCAATTTTTTACAGACCACCGTCATATAGCTGGAATATTGTTCCGCGTTAAACAACAAACACGTGTGTGACACTCTGCTTTTCAAAATTCCTCTTGTCAGTGTTTATGTATGTGTCATTATGCGTTTATATATTTCATGTATATTATGTGTCGCTTTCAAGACTGTCATCCTATGAGTTGTCTTCCACTGATTAAAACCAAATTGAATGCTGTCCTATGCATCATATATTACTTGCTGTGTGGCTCAGCAGTTTGAACTTCATATAATGGATTGTGTTGTCAGGCTTGGAAAGAAACTATACTAACGGAAAAAGATATCTGTGCATCACATAAAATTGAATAAACTAAAGTTCTTTGAAAAGTTATAATAAATAACCTTAAGTTAAAATGTAGCAATGCACTTTATGTACAATGAACTTACTTACTTTTTGACACCTGAAGTTCATAAACCTGATATTGATAATTGAAGTTCATTATTCGCTTGCCGCTGAATGTTGTGGAAAATACGTTAATTTCAACCTAAATTGCGTGCACGTCACCCTACAGTTTATAGCAAATCAGCGTATCTGCGCCATGGGCATGCTAGAGACTGGACTCGCCCAATATAAAGAGGTCAAACATTTGGTATCCATCGAAACATGATCTCATCTCTATGGAGACAACACGTTTTCAATGGGAACACGAGAGGTTTTCATCGGACCGGCCGCCCACGCGTGACGTCACGTTAGCAAGACGACCACATTCATCTAAGGAAACGATGCCAGACTGCCAGTGTGACTGCTCGGACCATTCCTGGTTACGTCTAATCAGTTCCAAGACGGTACAGAACCGACTGAGGGAACACAACATTCGGTCCCGACGGCCTGCAGTACGTACAGTTTTGCTCCAATGTCACCGCCAGGCAAGTCTTGCCTGGTGCAGACAACATCTCCGGTACAGGAGACAATATTTGGTTGGTGTTTTGCACGCTGACGAGTGGAGATTAAATTTGGACAGCTCAGACAGCAGGGCAAGGGGTGAACGGTATGCTGACACTTGTGTTGTTTAACGTCGATAGTTTGGTGGGGGTAGCGTTATGGTTTAGGGAGGCATTACATCTCATGGTCGGACACAACTTGTCGTTGCCAATGGCAATGTGACAGGTCTGGGATACAAGCATGAGATATTTAGGCCTCCTGTGTAGCCGTTCATTCAAGGACAGCGACGTAACTTCACCTTTCAGCAAGATAATGCCCGTCCACATGCCACTCATGTTGTGTCAGATTTCTTGAAACAGCAGAACATTCGGAGACTCCCCTGGCCAGCTGTTTCTCCGGACCCGTCCTTTATCGAGCAGGCTTGGGATAAAATGGAGCGACGTTAGCTGATGTGGGACATGCGTTGGTTCGTATACATACATAGAACATCATTCCCCAAGCTTTCATCAATCGCTTGGTGTCGTCTATGGGTCGTCGTTGTCAAGTCTGCTTCTACGCCAATGGTGGACACACGCGATACTGAATTTGTGAACTGACATTAAACACTACATCTCTTCAAGGGAGTGTCACGATGCCTATAGTCAAATCATAGTAGTGGAACATGCGTTGGTTCGTATACATACATAGAACATCATTCCCCAAGCTTTCATCAATCGCTTGGTGTCGTCTATGGGTCGTCGTTGTCAAGTCTGCTTCTACGCCAATGGTGGACACACACGATACTGAATTTGTGAACTGACATTAAACACTACATCTCTTCAAGGGAGTATCACGATGCCTATAGTCAAATCATACAGATATTTTGTTATTATCCTGTCAACACTTATACAGTGATTAATTATAGGAAAACACCCCAAATCATGTTATTATCTTTTCATTAACAAAGTGCGTAACATCATATAATGCACAGTTACTTTATTCCAGTAATATAGTTTGTTACACATACACATTCCACAGTTTTTCATAACGAAACAAATGAAACACGTACATGAAATCCGAAGCCATGACACAATTTACAAGCTACTACTTTCGGAACGGTTTCCCAAGAATAGGGTTATGATGGCTTGGGTAGAAGCGGTTGTGTTATATCTAGGATAAAGCTCATCTTCAAATGTGCAGATACATGTCAAGTTAAAATCTCAATCTTCTACGATCAAGATTCCGGCACAGTCTCCCTGTGTTCCCAGTCGAAGATCGAGAGAGGAAATCTGCATAGGAAAACGTGTTGTAAAATTTACCGTACATGTATATATGGACGCATTTCGAGTAATCGCTGTATCTTGGGAAACATACTGAAGCGCCACCTCACTCTTGTTCTGAACTTGACTCCCGTTCATCTTGATATTGTGGGTACCTGCAATAGAAGAGTGACACCAGCAAACCCCTCTGGTGTGATTGGCAATGCAAAACACAGGTTGATGTTAAGAGCAGCGGGAACCTACGGGAACGATACATATTATCAGACACGTCTCTGAGCCACAAGAACATATTCTAATAGTCTAATATTCCAACAGCGGACTAACAAAATATTAGCTGTATAGTTTGGAGTTTCTCTCTGAAACAAGTTGACCGTTGACGTTGACGGTCTTTACGTGAGGAGCTACGCTAACCACTGATACGTACTTTGTGCGAGAGCATGTAGTGCAAGGGGTATAACTCTTCCAACACTGTTTGGATGTTTAGTGTTAGTGTGAATGTCAGTTCAGGAAATCATCCGACTGTAGGAATATACCACATGAACTGAAGTACATAAGAAAGTACCCGCTTAGTACTTTGGGTAACTTGTTTTAAAAACAACAACGTCCCTTGAATATTTTGATTGTTTTGAATGTGACTTTCAAGTCACATGAATCCTAATTTTCATGTCATTCGTCTCAGCAGACGCACATCTAAAGGACATCTGTACTGTTTTAAAGTTTATATGATTTCTACAAAAGACTGCATACGTGACACGTTTATAACTGTGTTGAATACAAACCCACATTTGCATTTTTCTACCTCGTCTGGAAATGGTACACATAAACAATGATACACAGTTCTTATGTATCATAAAGACCGACTCTAAGGCAAATCGGATTGAGTGTCTGCCTTGAAAGGTCTGTGGTTCGATTCATTTCAAAAGCTTTGGTGGTAAAATGATATACTTGTTTTTGTCCTGCCTGGTTCTCACCATTAAGTTTATGTATCAAATATCTGTTGGCCCAGTCAGTATAATGTGCAGTGGAGTTAATCAGCATATGGAATCTTAGGACTTTGCATATAAAGCCGGTATTAGTCCGGACTTGTTTAAGCAAACACATCTGCATTCATGCTTTTATACATGTGCATTGATCTTGAGAGCGATAAATCCTATCTAACTACCTGACTTCTTTTTTAAACAGACCGCCTCCGTGGTGTAGTGGATGGAGCGTCCGCCCGGAGAGCGGAAGTTCGCGGGTTCGATCCCCGACCGCGTCATACCAAAAGACGTTAAAATATGGTACTTGTTGGTCCCTGTCTGGCGCTCGGCATTAATGGGTACATCAGGGACTGGTCGGCTCGGAATCAGTATACTGTGTCTGAGTGGGGTATTAATGCTTCACTGCAGCATGGTATCTCAGTGGGTTAGCACTATAAAACCAGCTTAAATCTGGGCTGGTACAAGCCACCGCACATACACATACACACGCATGCACGTCGCCATATGAGCGAAACATTCTTAAGCACGACGTTAAACCCAATTTCACCTCACCTCACCTCACCTCACCTCACCTCACCTTTTTAAATACATAGAGAATCTGGAAGTACGAATACACTTGTGATGCATTATTCATATGCATGATGCATTCTCAGCATCTCCTGCTAATGGTAATGCTTCCTTGTGAAGAGGAGATGTTGACTGTGATTTATTTAAATATTTATACCTCTTTTGCTGAAATTTCAGATTCAATCGTAAGCATACCTTACCCTTACGATAAAGTAGAACAATATATTTGTAACAACCGACCTCAGTGTCAGTGTATATACGGTTTTTACTATTATGATTTTACCAACACATGTATTCTGGAAATATGCAAACTGAGTCATCAGGATATGACATCTGGTACTGTCTTAACTGTTTCCAATGATAAGTATAAGAAACAAATCGTAGTTATTGTTAGGTACAGGGTACTCACTGCCGTGGACCACACTGTCTTAAGACTATGCCCCATTTCATTGTTCTCATGAAGTGACCCTGGATTCTAATTTAAACTACACAAGCTGTATGACTTTAATATATACAGGCATGTCACGATGTTGAATATCGCAGTACATATAAGCCTAGGATTGCAACCTGTATTCATATTTATCACAAACCCGATTGAGTGACGTTACCAGCCTCTGTGCACACGGATGTAATGCATGTACACCCTGATCCCGTACGCCTTTACCTGGTACACATAAATTATCTGGTATCACATTGCAGTATTAAAACGATCGTATTGAATTCCCTTACGTCGAGAGTTTAACTGCATAAACAGCGGTTGTGTCACCCGACAAAGCAGACCAAATGGACGGTGGTTGAGATACTTCGTGTGCAGTGTGGGGATCTACACATCCTTCTGTGAAGCAAGTATTTCAGGTGAGGAAATGTGTGTGAAATGATTCATGGTAAATGGGAACCTTGTAGCTCACCTGTTTAAGGCACTCTCATGTATTGAGAACAGTAGAAATCCCATTACTGCGGGCTCTAATGGAATATTATATAGGTATTAGTAGGATACTAAGATATAACTAGGATTACTAATCAAAGTAAACACTATATACTTTGCTTTCACTAAATCTTGAAAAGAATTATAATTTCGAGACCTGATACTAAGACATATGAAATACGAAATGCAAGTGGCATTTGATAGATAGCACCTGTCCTTGCTTAGAGTGATATACATGTATTTCTTGAAGGTGGAATGTATCAGGGTAGCCACGATCTATATTCAAAAGACAATGTACACGTAGCGTTTGGGTAATAACGTCAAACGATAGGAATGACAATATATTGGATATATGACTCTGACGTTCTACGCTTTCAGTTTTGAATCAAATTTAGAGCTATTATAGTTTTGTTATATACCTCTGCTTTTCCAACACGGTATGTTTATCTCCTTATTGTCCATGAACAATGTGTTTGACCATTTAATTAATATCACTCCTCTCGACTGCTGATATGATCTTGAGTCAGTTATGACTAACAACAGTTTTTCAACATTTTGTTAGGAGGTGGTATCTCTTTATTTATAGTGCGTAGTACTGAGAGGGCCTTGGTACGAATCGTGTAATAAATAATAATAATAGTCCACTTGAAACGCGTTGAATCCTTGTACACTACAAGCTCTAAGCGCACATGTCTGAGAGGAGAGGAGAGAAGAGAAGTTACACTGAGAAGCCAAGTCTGAACAGGAAGGTTTTGAGTTAGGTCTTAAACGATGACAATGGTTCACAGTCTTTGAGGTACTGGGGCAGAGAGTTCCAGGCAATAGTGGCCGAATATGCAAATGTTTTCTACCCATAGCTTTTTTACCATGGGAGCATGGTGCAGGGCTTTTGTTTGGGAACGTAGACACTGGAAGACAAGAAAAAAGGAGCTTGTATGTGATACGGTGTTCCACAGGGAGCCAATTAAGGCTATGGAGAACAGGAGTGATGTGCTCTGATTTAGTTAGTGTAACAATCCTTGCTGCATAATTTCGAACACGTTGTAGGAATTACAATAGTCGAGCCGTGACACAATTAGCGACAGGACCAATGTCAGCTCTATGTAAGTGTTTAAAGGTGTAAGAGAGAACACTCTGGTTCAGAGATGACAAACATAGGTTTGATGAGTCTATGTTTACTGATATGAATTGCATTTATATGCATATTCCTATTTCTATTTTAAAATGCTGAAATCTGTAGATACAATGCATTCAAGCACAGCGTGTTACGGTGCGGGGGATATACAACGTCACCAATGCCACGTGTGAAAGCAATCAGAGGATCGCAATACTAGAGGCATGTTACACATCAGATACACAGTGTGCTTCGTCAACGAACTCAAGCTCAGAATGTGATACTAGATACAACCACACGGAGATTCAAGCTCTTTTAATGACCTGTTCCGCCTAGACATGGTGCACATTCGTCCCTCCTTGGCCAAATGGGAATTGTTTTGTGTCGATGGTGAAACACACCTACATTGAAGGTAACTAGTTTCAGATAAATGACCTAAATAGATTTGATCTCAAGCATAACATTCGTGTTAAAGAGATTTGAAGATAGATGAACTATGTGTTCCGTTCTATTCATAAAACAGACTCAATTTCAGCTTTTGAAGACTGAATGTTCACTTTAATTCGGAATCAATTTGTTTGACAGTCCAAACTGTATCTATAAAGTAATATTGTGTGTGTCTGTTAGTCCGCTAATGGAATTGCAGGTAAGAATATGTTCTTGTGGCTCAGACTCAGAGACTTGTCTGATTAATGTACATCGTGCTCTGAACAACCTCTGGTTTGCCTTGGCTTGGCAGCCTTGCCTTGGCAGACGTAATTATTTGAGCAAATAGTGACGTAGCTTGAATTACGCTTTCAACAAGGACCAAACGTTTGCTGGTGTCACTATTCTATTGCAGATACCGACATCATCAGTATGAACGGGAGTCAAGTTCAGAACAAAACTGAGGTGACACTTCAGTACGTTTCCCAAGATTCGGTTGTAACGCGAAATGCGTCCGTATATACATGTGCGGTAAATTTCACACGTTCCACTATACAGATTTCCTCCCTCGATCTGCGACTGGGAACGCAGGGACAGTGTGCCGGAAACTTGATAATAGAAAATAGAGATCTAAACATGACATGTGTCTGCACATTTGAAGATGAGCGTTGTCCTAGATATAATAAAACCACCTCTACTCAAGTCATCATAACTCTGTTCTTGGAAAACCGTTCCGAAAGTAGTCGCTTTGAAGTTGTGTCGTGGCTTTGGATTTCATGTAATAGCTATGTTTTCCTCATTATTAAACAATGTGGTGTGTGTATCGATCGATAAAGCGTCTGTCCACAGAGGGCAATATGAGGATTACAGAAGGAATTGTTTTCTGTTTCTGAGCAGGGGATCAATGTTAAACCACGGTATCATATCTAAATGACTTTAAAACCGACTTTTACTCGCATACACGTCGCCATTCAAATAATGGCGACAAAATCATTTTATTACTATCAGAGACCTCTTTATCTCTTCATGTAAGAAACGTCCTATTAATTGTTTGAAATGTCGTGTCCTATACAACTTCCATAAAGACTTGTAATTTCAATTCTATGTGGAAGAGTGATGTTTGTACCCATGATCCTTGTCTCATATTTTGTCGATAATCTTAATATTCAAGCTTAGGTCTTAACAAGAAACAACCTAGTCAGTAAATAGGTGGACAAAAAGTTAATATCTGACCATTATTGAACAATATTTGGTCATCAATGCATCTACGCTTCAGTCCAGTTGCCTTTCCAAACTGTAGTTCACACTCACATGCCCTAGAAGCAGATCAGCAAGGAGCGACCACAACGGATGCATATATACTTCTCATCAAAAGTTTAGACTCGCTAGTTTAAATATAGCCACTTACTTCACGCAACTGTTCTAAACTAAAGGTTCTGTTTACACATGAACTAAAAAGATCATTGTCATGAGTTGAATAAATGATAAAAAACAGTGAAAATTGGAGAATTCTTAACAAACCTTTATGCAACAACGCAGCTGTTCACGTACACGATGTTTGCACATGCTTTCAGCAATTTGATGCATGATTATCGTGCCATTCATCTGCATAAAGTTTGCAGTTGGTCCCTTCAAGTTAGCGGACAAATCAATCTTCGATGTAACCAAACATATACACATAACATATATAGTGAGTGTTGTAAGTCAATCTAAACTTTTGAAGAGAAGTATAGTTTTGAATATCTTTTGCCCACATGCCCTAATTTTACACAATGATGACTAACATTCCACGTATACTCTGATCACAATTGCTTAATTGACCTAAACCTTGAAGGCATAGGAATAACATGATCGCCACATATATATATCAGGAAGGAATTCATAGTGTGGCGTCGTGTTGAACGAAGTTTTAGTTCAAGTCTGTAGGCAGTTATGATTGAAATTTCGTCTTTTCTGAGATTGCAAAATAATCCAGGACATACTTGATTTCGAATTTTCTTTTGTTTTCCTTTCCTTTTTTTGAATTCGAATCTACGTAATCTAAAACTCTTTCTGCCAATATTTGAGACAGGTGATTGCCTGAAACTATCTTGAAATCGACGTCAAATCCCAATTTCAGTTCACCCCTTAGAACAATTTTTAAACATTAAACATGCCTGCCCTTAGAGATAACATGTTAATACATGTCAACGTGTGTATCAGCCTCTGCCAGTTTTGATATTTAGTGTGAAACTGGATTTCCTCAAATCGGAGAAGGTACGTATACCAACTAAATATTTCCAAACCACTTGATCATTTCCGTTAACCGCAGTGTTTTATTCAATAGTTTCTGTATGACTGCACTTATGGTAGTATCCTTGTATGAGATAGTTGTATTATCCACAGCTAATATACGCTAGATTGACAACTTTTGGAAATAATTTTGATCAATAATGTAATCCCATCCACTGTTGTTGATGCAGCCACTGGTTCCTGTTTATACCAGTGCCACCGGCATTGCTTTAATTGAAGACTCACCATGAAGAAGGTTCAAGAGCCTGTTTTTTACAAGAGAATATTATTGAGGTTTTCTCGACCACAAACCTACAACAGATGCTGAACACTTCGTGGTCGACATGAGTCACATATACCTTTAGGAATGCGTCTCTCCTATCACTGACTGGCGCAGAATGGCATTGTTTAATCACACCCAGAGTCTGCTTGTATACCACGAGTATCAGTATTCAGTATACACAGTGTACTTGCATGCAAGCATTTATGTAGGTATGTAGGTATGTATGTAGGTATGCATGTATGTGTGTGTGGGGTAGGTAGGTAGGTAGGTAGGTACGTAAGCATGTATGTATATATCTTCTGGTTGTACCGAGAAAGAGTTGAAAACGAAAACAGATATACCCTTTATGTCGATTTTTGGTCGAGGTGTAGATCTTACGATTGTTCTCGTATGGAGGTAAATTCTTCAGTTACTATTTTGGGTTTGTATCGAATGGTCGTATAACTCGAAATATTGAAGGTTGTACCTGTATGCAGCTGATTATATAAAGGTTTATGGTGTATACAGGCTCATGATGTTTGCAGCAGCCGATATCCCACCCGGTACAAACAACTGATGCCTTGATACCACCTCCGATATAACCATTTAACCTCTATCATCTGCCATTCTCAGAATACCCCTCCAAATTTGTCTTCTTAGATGTATCCTTCTTAAATGTATTTTTCAAACAGTTTAAATGACGACATGTTGAACTGCAGGTAACGGATGTATGTATCCTTTGGTTTGGCACTTTGGTATCATGACTGAGCGTACATTTGATTCACTTTTTTACAGCAAGTTGGGGTTCCACAGGTCTTACGGTCTTTGGGATTAACTATTTTTCATCTTACACATGAATCATATTGATACAGAGTATCGAACCCGTTATTTTGTGTGTCATTTTTGTTAGTGTGCCATACGAATTATGACGAAATTTGACAGCCTCATTCACTTAGTGCAGTGAGGGAGTGAGTGGGCGCCACTTCTCAGTAGCATCCTGGTTATGTAAGTTTGAGTAATGTAAGCTTGAGTAATGTAAGTTGGAGTAATGTAAGTTGGAGTAATGTAAGTTTGAGTAATGTAAGTTGAGTAATGTAAGTTTGGGTAATGTAAGTTTGAGTAATGAAAGTTTGAGTAATGTAAGTTGAGTAATGTAAGTTGGAGTAATTTAAGTTTGAGTAATGTAAGCTTGTGTAATGTAAGCTTGAGTAATGTAAGCTTGAGTAATGTAAGTTTGAGTAATGTAAGTTTGAGTAATGTAAGTTTGAGTAATGTAAGCTTGAGTAATGTAAGTTGAGTAATGTAAGTTGGAGTAATGTAAGTTTGAGGCGTTACCACTTGGGTGGAACCCAAGAACAAGGGCATGATGATGACAAATCTGGACACATAATCGCTACCATCATACCTTCTGGAATTGGTTAGACCCGTGAAGATCCAGGTTAGAATTGATCTTCAATAACCCATGTTTGTCGTAAAAGGCGACAAAAGGGATAATGTAGTCAGACTCGCTGACTTGACTGACATATGTCATCGCATCCCAATTGCGTAGATCGATGCTCACTGGATTGTCTGGTCCACACTCGAATATTTACAGACCGCCGTTATATAGCTGGAATATTGCTGAGTGCGGCGTAAAACTAAACTCACTCACTCATTCTGACGTGGAAAGGGGGGCAGTACTCGGCACAACATACTAATTTACATGGCAGTATGGACCATGGTTTGTCAAGGATGTTTACGTGCATCATCATCCGCTTACTCTTAACCTTTCTCAGTCGGGACATGCTAGTGAGTGAGTTTATGCCGCTTTTAGCAATGTTCCAGCAACATCACGGCGGGGGACACCAGAAATTTGTTTCACCCATATGGGGAATCGAACCCGGATTTCGGCATGACGAGCGACGCTTTGGCAACTTGGCTACCCCACCTCCCCTCGAGACATGTGTCTCAAGCGATATATGCGAGTTCTTTTTTTGGTAGCCTGATATCTCCTTATGTGAACTGGTGGGGTAGCCTAGTGGTTAAAGCGGTCGGTCGTCACGCTGAAGACCCCGGGTTCGATTCCCCACATGGGTACAATGTGTGAAGCCAATTTCTGGTGTCCCCAGCCGTGATATTGCTGGAATATTGCTAAAAGCGGCGTAAAGCAAAACTCACTCACTCCTAGTGTAGAATGTAAAAATTCTGTTGTTCCGTCCGTACGCGATTTGTTGATGAGAAATATTTTTATTTTATGGAAAATTTTCACAAATACCGAGATGGAAGATTGGTCTATAACAACCTATCTGACGAAACTAGTGTCTATGATCACATCCGTGGAAACACATCTGCTCAGGTCATTGTCTGTGATCATGATTGTCAGGACCAATCTAGGCACAGCAATCTCTATGATCACTTGGATGAGAAGACATTCCCTCATGCAACTGTGTCTGATCGTGATTGTCGCAACCCATCTGACCAAACCAGTGTCTATGATCACATCCGTCGGGACAGAACTGCTCATGACACTGCTTGCGATCATGACTGGGACAGCGCATCTAACCAAACTAGTGTCTATGATCACATCCGTGGAAATGCATCTGCTCCGGTCAATGCCAGTGATCGTGAGTGTAACAGCCCACCTAGCCACAACAATCTCTATGATCACATCAGTGAGACGGCATCCATACACGTAACTGTGTCTGATCCGGATTGTGGCAACCCCTCTAAACAAACCAGTGTCTATGATCACATGTGTTCAGGCCACTGCTGGAGATCATGACTGTGACAACCTATGTAAGCACACCAATGTCTGTAATCACATCCATGAGAAGACATTTCCTGATGTAATTGTATCTGATCATGACAACCTATCTAACCATTCCAGTGTCTATGATCACATCGCCGAGAAGACAGCTCCTCATGTAAATTGTATCTGATCATGACAATCTATCTAACCATTCCAATGTCTATGATCACGTCGACGAGAAGACAGCTCCTCGTGTACTTGTATCTGATCATGACAACCTATCTAACCACTCCAATATCTATGATCACGTCGACGAGAAGACAGCTCCTCGTGTAATTGTATCTGATCATGACAATCTATCTAACCATTCCAATGTCTATGATCACATCGACGAGAAGACAGCTCCTCGTGTAATTGTATCTGATAATGACAACCTATCTAACCACTCCAGTGTATATGATCACATTGGTGAGACCCCCAGGCCACCACAATGATACGAATGCAGCTGGTATGCCTAAAATTTCAGGATTACCAGAGGGAAAGATACAGGTTATGACCACATGTTTGGACGAACTCCTCCTATAGATTATATTGATGATACACATCGACATGGCATCTGAATCTGGCAATCAGATGTAGTCGCAAAATTGATGACATTCCTGACACATCAGAAGGATCGTATTCATTAGGTAGAGTTTCACAAAACCACTACCAGGATACAGATGACGAGCGGGCAGACAAGAACAAGAATGATTAACATCGTGCTCCATTGTTAGAATACGTTAATTCTTTAACTGAAATTATACCAATGTACCTGTTACATTATCATTTTGACGTTATATAGGGGCGGTGGGGTAGCCTAATGGTTAAAGCGTTGGCTCGTCACGCCGAAGACCCGGGTTCGAATCCCCACATGGGCACAATGTGTGAAGCCCATTTCTGGTGTCCCCCGCCGTGACGTTGCTGGAATATTGCTAAAAGCGACGTAAAACCAAAACTCAGTCAGTCAGTCTTGACGTTATAGCAGATGTGTCATTCATTATCACTGGACTATTGAAGGTACAGCATCATAGGATTAGTACACGCAACATTATTCATCTAATGTATCAATGCACATGTGACATTACAGTTTTGTTTCTATCTTCCTTTAGCTACGTACCGCCACCTCATCAGCATACCATCTTGACGGGGGTGGTTGGGTAGTCTTGTGGTTAATGCGTTCACTCGTCACGCCGAAGGTCCGGGTCTGATTTTCAAGCTCACTCACTCATTCCTTCTTTACGACAGCGAATACTCAAGTCTGGGTCAGACAATCATGATTGTTATGGTAAGATTCGATTCATGCATACACGAGTAACCAACCAACTCACCGTGCCTTACAACCCTTTCCATTTATGCATATAATTAGTGTCTTCCAACGACAAGCATAGGACATGTGCTCTTCCTCTGCATCCCCACGGGCTTCATATATTGTAGATAATTATGCATATATGATCATTTGTTTGTTACCAGGATTGTAGGAGATATTGCTTATGTTCATAATTCAGTTTGAATACTGTTTGATCATCTTAAGTGGTTACCTGCGTTTGTTTATCGGGGCTATAGTCAATATATCCAAAATAGTGCACATCTGTTCGGTGAACGAAATGTTCCCTTTCCTGAAAAACTCCTTGGGGAACCCAACAAAACCAGAAAAATAATTTATAGAGAATCTATGGGTTTCCTGGCAAGATTATCTGGCTCGAATTACGATCAACGCAAATCTTATATGGGCAGAACACTTGAGATTACGATCATTGTGCACTGTTCGGTGCAATTTACTTTATTTATGATTATGCAAACACTAGCCTGGTATTGACCACTACCACTGAGAGGCATTCTGACATTGTGGGTAGTGCATGGGGCTGCAGTGCTGGGGAGACGTCACATTCTCACAAAGGTCTCTGTTGGTGCAACAAGGGAGAGGTCTAACAGATGGGCTCTGATGAAACATTGCCAGGATCCCCTCTTTGCTGCATTCGTATTCTAATCTTTAAATGATGATATCATTTCTGGTGTTCCCCGCCGTGAAATTGCTGGAATACTGCTAAAAAGGGCGGAAAACCATACTCACTCACTCACTCACTCAACTCACAGTTTCTTATGTCGAGTTCACTCGAGATAGAAAAATGTGTTATAAATTATTCACACCATAACTCGGCTTACGTGTACACAATCTTTTTTTCAAAGATTTATATACATTTTTGTACAGTTTTGCATATATTAAGTCAGATGGTTTACATATTATATCACGAGTTTCAGAAACAATGTTCTGGCAGACTTCCAAAAATACTCAAACACAATGACAATGTAGTGAGGGCGTCATGTCCTGGCCCACCGGATGTATTTAGAGATGGCAACACGATAGCTGGTTGCGTGACGATAGAATTAACGAATGACACATTGTTCATCTGTGTCGCGTTCAACTTGTGGCACATCTTTTCCGCTCAAAAATATTACAACATTGCTTTGGTCTGGAATTGGTTAGATCCCTAAAGATCCGGGTTAGGACTGATCTTCAGTAACCCATGCTTGCCGTCAGAGACGAATAACAGGATCGGGTGGTCAGGCTCACTGACTTGGTTAAGACATGTCATCGTATCCCAGTTGCGTAGATCGATGCTCATGCTGTTGATCACTGGATTGTCTCGAATATTTACAGACCGCCGCCATATAACTGGAATATTGCGTTGTGTGGCGTAACACTAAACTCACTCACTCACTCATTGGAATTGGTTAATTGCTAATTCTGGCTTTGAACTGATCCTCAATTTGGTTTTAATCAATAAAAGGCAAGTCATAGGGTCAATAACGCGACACATACATACACTCTGACAAGAGGAATTGTGAAAACTACAGTATCACACAAATCGTCGCCTGAAAACCAGAGTGTACTAAGTCACAAAAACCTATTTTCGAGAAATTCTATCTTGAAGTTTAGGACAACAATATCGTCTAAACTTTTCAATCGAGTTCTTTCAAATTTTGCACATGCAAGTGACATGTTAAACAGTATCGGAAAATTCAAATTATATGATCAAACTATTGAAATAAATAAGAAAGTGTTTTAAGTGTCAAAAAACACAGCTAAAAACTCAGCTTTGTTATTATTATATCGATATTTGATTGTTATTTCTTTATTACCAGGTTGTATTTTTGTCGTTTAAATCTGATTTACTTTCATAAGGACTATATTTAATTAAATAAAGCAGAAATAAGAACAGAGTTAAAATGTTCCATTTCCATTATAACAATCACTTCAAAATTGGTAAATCTCAATGTCACGTGATCAAATTGTGCTTCCGTGATCGAATTTTCATTGAGATAGAACAAAGTTTGTGTTTGAAAAACCACTTTCAAAGCTAGATAGCACTGTAAAAAGTTGCTACAGTAATAAATTATGCTCTAAAACCTACCCTGAGCATACTAACTCTAATTTTGTCAAACGTGGACTTAGAACACTCTGGTTTGCAGGCGACGAAATGTTTTTCTTTGCTTGTTGTTTAACACCGCCCTCAGCAATATTCCACCTATATGACGGCAGTCTGTAAATAATCGAGTCTGGGCCAGACAATCCAGTGATCAACATCATGAGTATGAATCAACAGAGGTGGGCTACGATTACATCTGTCAATCAAGTCAGCATGCCTGACCACCCGATCCCGTTAGTCGCCTCTTACGACAAACATGGGTTGCTTGAGACGATTTCAACCCGGATCCACGGATAGGGCAACAGATTATACTGGTCACAATGAATTCATGTCAGGAAACTGAGCAGACACGCCACAGCGAAACTTCTACTTCCTTGTTTGCATCATCTGTGTATATCACATGTGTACATGTATGTGAATAGATAACGGTTGCGAGCATTACTCAACACTGGATCATGTCAGCCACGACATTCATCTCCTGGCGTGTCATATATCTGGCAGGGTGTGTTCTCCAGGGTGCCGTACTTATGGGTATGTTCTTCAACACAACCATTTCAAAATATTTAACAAAATATCAACAGAGTGTATAACAGTTGCTTCAACTTTTAACCCAAATTTCATTCATTCAATATTACGTTGACACAATAACTGCAGCCTCAACATTATCCCATGTTAACCCATGTTCTTAATTATGAATAATGTTGTGATAGTCTGGGTTATTTTAAATAGTATTGTAATGTTGAAATGTGTACATAAAAAACCGCTCTTCAATGTGACGTGTTCTGATCGATTTCTGTACAAGAGTGAACTAGGTTGATTTCCATTCGGGATACGAACCTACGAGTCGGAGATCTAACACGTCAACCACCGTGGCTTCCACAAAACTGAAATTCGGACAGCTGGTAGTCTTAGTCACGGACTTTGTGTACCCCTCTGACAAGTGTAAATTGGAACGACTTCCACGTCTCCCACGGCTCCCACGGCTCCCACGTCTCATACGGCCCCCACGGCTCCCACCGTCACCAAGTCTCCCACGACTCATACGGATCCCACGTCTCTCACGTCTCCCACGTTTCATACAGTTCCCACGTCTCCCACGTCTCATACTGTTCACACGTCTCCCACGGCTACCACGTCTCCAACGTCTCATACGGTTCCCACGTTTCCCACGGCCAACACGGTTCCCACGTCTCCCACGTCCCATCCGGTTCACACGTCTTCAACTGCCCACACGGCTACCACGTCTCCTACGTCTCATACGGTTCCTTCGTCTCCCACGGCCCCCACGGTTCCCACGTCTCCCACGTCTCATACGGTTTCCACGTCTCCCACGGCCCCCACGGTTCCCACGACTCCCACCTCTCATACGGTTCCCACGTTTCCCACGTCTCATACGTTTCCCACGTCTCCCACGGCCACCTCCTTCCCACGTTTCATACGGTTCCAGCTCCACGTTTATCACGTCTCATACGGTTCCCACGTATCGCGCCACTTCCATTCCTCCCAGCGTCCATTCCATCTTCCATTCCTTCCATTCCATTTGATCCGATTCCGGCCCCGGCTACAGTTCCCACGTCCGATCCGGCCCCGGCTCCACGATCCGTCCTTCGGTTTCGCGTCCATTTGACTCCGCCGGTTCACGCCACAAGATCCCATTCCGGTCTCCCACGTTCCTGATTCCACGGTTCCATGTCCTTCCACGTCCGGTTCCACTGGCCCCGGCTCCGTACCATTCCGTTCCATCCAGATCCATTCCATTTGTCCACGTATTCCTTGTCCATCCTTCCAGTTCCATTGTCCATTTCCACGTCCTCCCGATCTTCCACGTCCATCCACGTCTCCTTCCGTTCCATTCCCGTCTCATGTTTCCGATCTCCGCGATCCTTCCACGTCTCCACGCCTCCACGGCTCCACGTCCTCCTTCCGTTCCCGGCTCCCGGTTTCCACGTCCTCGGGCCCCGGCTCCTCCGTCCTGTCCTTCGATTCCACGTCCACGATCCTTCCACGATTCTTCCACGTCCTTCGTTCCGGATCCATTCCGGTCCTTCCATTCCGTCCTCCATTCCATTCCATGTCCTTCGGTTTAACGATCCTCCGGCATTCGTCGTCCGACATTGTCCGCCAGTTTCCGACGATCCATTCCGTCTCCTCCGGTTTCCATGTCCGGGGCCCCGGATCATCGTTTCCATTCCATTCCATCCGTCCTCCGTTGTCCGGTTTCTTCCATTCCGGCTCCATTGTTCCATCCGTCCATTCCATCCGGTCTTCCATGCAGTTCCAACGTCCGGTCCATTCTCCCAGTCCTCCATCCCAAGGATCCGGTTCCATGTCACGTATCCATCGATTCCACGTCGTCCTGTGGATCCATTCCATATGTCCACGGCTCCAGGCTCCCAGGTCCTCCACGTCCTGTTCCGATCTCCACGTCCATTCTTTGTCCGGTTCCCAGCTCCATTCGTTGTCTCAGGGTCCATTCCTCCATTGTCCGGCTCCATCGTCCAACGTCCATCCTTCATGATCCGTCCTCCACCATTCCGGTCATGTCCATTCCATTCCGTTTCCGTCCGTTCCGGGCTCCGGTTCCATCCGTCTCCGTTTGTCCTTCGGTTTTCCACGTCCATTGTTGTCCAACGTCTCCGGTTTCACGTCCGTTCGACTCCGTTCCACGTCCTCCGTCCATCCGTTCCGTCTCCATTCCGGCTCCCGGTTTCCACGTTTCCAGCCAGTTTTCCACGTCCATCGGTTCCGGCTCCATCCTTCCATGTATTCCATCCATTCCGTTTCCGGTCTTCCGGTCCTCCACCCTCCGGCTCCGGTTCCGTATTTTCCGTTCCGGTCTCCGCCGGGTTCCTTCCACGGATCGTTCCGTCCGGTCTCCATTCCACGTCCTTCCATTCCTTCGTTCCATTCTTCCGCTATCCACGTCATCGGTTCCGCGTTATCCACGGCTCCGTCCGTCCGGTTCCATCCGGCTCCACGATCCTCTTCCGGTTTTCCGTCGTTCCGGTCCACGTGTCTCCGTTTTCTCCACGTTCCTCCGTGCGTTCCCGATCCTCCACGGATCCGTCCTCCGGGTGTCATGCGGTTCCACGTCTCCACGTCTCGTTACCGGATCCCCGTTCCATCTTCCGTTCCGCGTCTTCGTTCGATTCCGGTTCCGTGTTCTCCACTCCGGCTCCGCGTTTCCATCCTCCGGCCCCGTACGATCCACGTCTTCGTTCCACGATCTTCCGGTTACGTTCCACGTATCCGTTCCGGCGGCCACTTCCTCCACGTCGTTCCGTTCCATCTCATCGATCCATACCGGTTCCACGTCTTCCGGCTCCACGTCTTCCGGTTTCCACGTTCCTTCCACGATATCCGGCTCATGGGTCCCCGTCTCCATCCGGCTCCGTCGGCCCGATCATGTTGATTTCCAGCGATCTCCGGTCTTCGGTTCCACGTCTCCACGTCCGGCTCCGTCCTCCGTCTTCCATTCCGTTTCCGATCCTCCATATCTTCGTTCCGGTTCGATCTCCACGTCTCATGCCTTCCTTCCACGTCTCCACGATTCCATTCCACGTCTCCGTGTCGGTTCAGCGTCATCCCGTTTCCTCGATCCTGGATCCTGTTTCTCATGTCCGTTCCGGCTCCGGCTCCATCGATCCGGCGTCCTCATCCGGGTTCCACGTCCATCCGTTTCCATACCGGTTTCTCATGTCTCCGTCTCATCGATTCCACGTCTCCGTGCGGCTCCACGTCCACGTCTTTGTTCCACCTCCATTCGTTCCGGCTCCGGCCTTGTTCCGGCTCCGTCGGTCTCCATACGGTCCGGGATCCATTCCATTTGTCCACGTCCGTCCGGTTTCCACGGTCCGTCTCCGTTTCCATCCGCGTCCGTCATGGGTCTTTTCCGTGGCTCCATCTCCTCCACGGTTTCCACGTGTCCGGGATCCGGTTCCACTGTCCACGTGTCCGGTTCCACGTCCGGCTCCACGTCTTCCGGCGTCTCATGTGGATCCGCGATCTCATCCGCCTCCACGTCCTCCATCTCCATGCGTTTCGTCTTTCCGTTTCCACCTCATGCCGTTCTCACGTCTTCCGCGTCCGTTCCACGTCTCCACGGTTCCATCTCCGTCCTCATGGGTTTCGGGCCGGTCATCCATTTGACTCCACCTCGGGCGTCTCCGTCCTCAGTTTCCATTTTGTCCGGTCCAACGTCCTCCGGCGTCCTTCCGGTTTTCCACGTCCGGCACGGCTCCGGCTCCATGCGGTCCGGGTTCTTCCCGGCTCCCATGTTTCATTTGTTCCCACATCCACTGCCCCTGTGGTCCCCTTCCACTGTTTCCATTTCCATCCTTTGTTCCTTCAGTTCCCATCTCCAGTTTCGGTTCTCCCGCTCCATGTCCATCTCCATTTCCATTCTCCATTTCCACAGTTCCCCACTATTCCATCTCTCCCTTCCCAGATCCATCATCCACGTCTCCCATGCTTTCACGTCTCCCATGTCTCCACATCTCCATCCCATTCCATGTCTCCTTACAGTTCCATCTCCACTTTCCTTCCATCATCTCCACTCCATTTCCATGCAGTTCCATATTCTCCATCCACGGCTTCCACTCCATCTCCATCTCCTTACAGTTTCCATCTCCATTGTCCTTCCAGTTCATCTCATTCAGTTCCATTCCATTGTCCAGTCTCCATGTCTCCTTCCAGTTCCATCTCCACATCTCCATCTCCTTCCCAGTTTCCATTCTCCTTCTTCAGCTTCCATCTCTCCATCTCCATTTCCACGTCTCCATCTCATACAGTCTCCATCTGCTTCCATGCTCCACCTTTGATCTCCATTTCCGCTCTCATCTCCACAGATCCATTGTTCCATTCTCCATCCTTCCATGTCCAGTTCCTCCGTCTCCACTGTTCTCCCGTCTCACTCGTTCCACCTCACTTGGTTCTCCACGTCTCCGTGCCTGCTCCACCATCTCCAGTTCCGGCTCCACTTCTCCATTTCCCTCGTCTCCACCTCGCCACGGTTCTCCTCCGTGTGTGTCCACCGGGGTTCCTCGGCTCCACGGTTCCACGTCTGTCCACGGGTTCCATCTACATGTCTCCACGTCTCCTTCCACGATCTCCATTCCATCTCCGTGCCTGTTCCGTCTCCATGCCTCGTCTCCACGTCTCACCACCGTCTCCGACTCCGGTCTTCCACTGTTCCACTGTGGCTCCACTGTTCCACGGATCCATTCCACGTCTCCACGTCTCCCTTCTCCGGCAGTTCCTTCTCCCGTCTCCGTCTCACGTGTTCCACGTCTCCGGTCTCCGTTCCGTCCACGTTCCACGTCTCCCGGCTGGTTTCCGTCTCCATCGGCTCCGTCTCGTTCCGGTTCATACGTCTTCGCGTCGGTTCCGTCTCACATCCGCCTGTCTCCGGTTCCGTCTCCACGGGTCCTCCGTTCTCCCCACGTCTCCTACGTCTCCCACGGTTCCCACGTCTCATACGGTTCCCACGTCTCCCACGTTTCATACGGTTCCCACGTCTCCCACGGCTCCCATGTCTCCCACGTCTCCCACTGCCCCCAAGGCTCCCACGTTCCCCACGTCTCCCACGGCTCCCACGGCCTCCGAAGCTCCCATGTCTTCCACGAATCCCCACGGCTCCCACGACTCCCACGGCTCTCAAGACTCTCACGGCTCCGACGGCTACCACGGTTCCCACGTCTCCCACTGTTCCCACGGCCCCCACGGCTCCCACTGTTCCCACGTCTCCAACGGCTCCCACGGCCCCTACGGCTCTAACGGCCCCCACGTCTCCCACGTCTCATACGGCCCCCACATCTCCCACGGCTCCAACGTCTCATACGGTTCCCACGTCTCATACGACTCCCACTGTTCCCACGTCTCCCACGTCTCATACGGTTCCCACGGCTCCCACGTGTCCCACGGCTCCCATGTCTCCCACGTCTCCCACTGCCCCCACGGCTCCCACTGTTCCCACGTCTCCAACGGCTCCCACGGCTCCCACGGCCGAAAAGTATGAATACAGAATACTGTGCAGTAAGTGGTCAAATCAAGCAGATGCTATATTTGGCACGACACTGTCTCAATAAACTACCGATTCTAGTAAGACATAGAGCTGAGGCGACTTTAAATTTTGGCTCATTCACTCACTTATTGTTGTTTGGATTCGTTGTGTGTTTAAATTTAATACACATCATTAATCACTGAACCATGATAATAGGCCACATGGTCTGTGTCTTACTTGGAATATCACTTGCTAGTTATTGTCAGTTAAGCAGTCAATCCACACGAGGAAGGAATTTCACCATAAAGAGAATTGTCTGTCCCCAATCTAAACCGGTCGATGGTGTCAATAAGAGGTGTCAAATATCTGATGACATCTACATGATTTGATTTGATGGATATAAATGTGTTCCCTTTGGATGGAGACAAATTCGAGCATCACGATATGATTTCCTGTGTACTGATATTTAATCACATCATGTCGTTTTATAGTTAATTTTGAACTACCATTAGTTGTAAGTGATGTTTATTTTTAAATGTGCATGAAGCTGAACTAATGCTCAAAACTCACTCACTCAGTATAAGCCTGCTGCGCTGTAACATATCGAATATAAATTTTAAAAATAAATAAAAGCCTGAATATTTCTCCATGTAGAGAACCGGACGAGTAGAGCCTGTTATGGTCCTGTTGGCCTTCCCTGCACTAAGCACAGCATCAGATGCAACCCCAGCCAGAAGATCGCCATCGTTGGCGCCTACTTCACCTTCAACAGAGAATGTGGTGCAGGGATCGCTGACTGCCAGCATGTAAACCCTGACAATGTGACAGTAAGTAGGTGCAGTAACAGCTTCAACAACACCTACCTCATCTCCCTCTACAACAACTGTTCTACAGAGAACCAATGTGAGTATCAGGCTCCCCGGATGAATGCAGCCGATACATTCTCCATTGTCAAATATCGGTGCATTGAAGGTATGTGTGTTTTTGGAGACACTAAAATTTAGAATTAAGGTTACATTAAATAATGTAAATAATATTGAAATTTAACAGTACATAGATGACGTCCCTCTTCATCAGATTTTCACCATTTACATGTTAGATTCATGAGCGGTATCGGAATAATGAACCTGCTATATATCTGTTGTAATATCCAAAATACTTGTTTCTCAAGGTAATGAGTGAATACTCATCAATCGTAAAAAAGATAATTATTCATGAACTAAACCGGTTCAGATTGTACGTATTTATGAGATATTTTCTACGAAACATGATGTGAAGATAACTTGTAGAAATGATGGTTATCCACCCCTAAGTACGGGTGGCATTAGCTATCCTGGAACCGGAAGCCATATCCACTGTTGCCTCGAGTCCATATGTTGCGCCTCAAGTATGTATCAAAAGAGGCCAAACTGTACATAAGCGTTACATTTCTAACATATTTGTGCACGTTGTTTTTAAGGTTTACAAACTCATCCACTGAACGTTCATATGTTATAGGAGATTCAATTACACCCATCGATGAAGCTTCACAACGGAATGCATCTGAAACCACTATCATCTACAAGCATACAGATGACATACCCAGTTCCAAGCATACTTGTACAATTCAGTCACAGATGCCTGTAAATATCACCGCTCTTGATATACGTCTTGGAGATGGGAATGAACCCCAAAACTGTTCCCGTCTGACCATTACTACGACACCGTATACCTGCTCAGACGAGATTTGGCCCTATAAACAGCTCCAAACAATTCAATCACCTGGACAGTCACACATTACACTTGAAGTTACGGAAGGATCACGACCAGTTGTCTGGCTTGGAATCACTTGTAAGTTTGTGTTTAAATATACAACCTCATTGCAAAAGTATACATTCGTGACTATCCTCAGAAACGAACTCCGCAAGGTGTAGGGGTAAACATTGCGGTGACAATAATATGAATTGATCACAGAAAATTAGTGATGACACCAGGTGTTCGCTATAAGGGTAAGCATCTATTGCCCTACCGGTTGCACCCGCCATTCACAAAATGTGCGTAATAATGGGCGTATTATTTGTTTGACGCGGCACAGCATACTCCTTCATCGACATGAGCGTTACTGTAACATTTTTCTACAGTATGTTTACCAGGGGCAGAATTTTATTTGAAACAATTTGTCAAACGATCTGAGAAGTAAATTAATCTCAAAGTCAAATTTGATTCTGTTCCTTAAATATCATATCTTGCTTCATGAAAGAAAAAGCATTGTATCTTGGCATGCGTACAAAGGCCGCTGCCAATCACATGTAAAATCACTCAACCGAGTCAAATCCTACAACTTCAGACCTTCAGAGAGCAAATGTACAGTCAATTCTGTATTGTCAGTTGATGAATACATTCCTATTTTAGCCACAAGCAACTTCGTTATCAACTGCGGTACTACAGATTTGACTCGACGTACTGGTGAGTCTGGTTACATATTTTTAAAAGCGCGACAATTCAATATGATTGAACGTTTTAAGCAAACAACCTTGGTTAGATTTAATTTGGTTCCACAGTGTGTCATTGCTAATACAGTGACTGGTTTTGTCAATATTTTGAAATCAGGCTTTGGTTTGCATTACACACCCTCTGATTCATAGTCGTTCGTAACCATAACAACACATTAGGTTGTTAATCATAATAGATCCTTTAGTATTCAGCGAAGCTCCGTCCTTTGATTGTGTACGATTGTGTTTGATTGTGTAGGGTTGTGTTTGAATATGAGGGATTGTGTTTGATTGTATAGGGTTGTGTTTGAATATTAAGGATTGTGTTTGATTTTGTAGTGTTGTGTTTGAATATTAAGGATTTTGTTTGATTGTGTTTGGTTGTGTAGGATTGTGTAGGATTATGCATTTTAAAGAAATAGCATGCAGACATGGCTGTATGGTTTTGTGTTAGATATCTGGCATTGACATCATGTAAGAAAGCTTTGATCGGGTTAATTAACCCGATTTTACAGCTTCTAACTTGAATGAATGGGCTTGTTAAACGTGAACAGATTTTATTTGTATCATGACGTGATACCTGAAAGTAAGAGGAGTATCGAAAATGATGTCATTTGTAGACGTGACCTGATTGGTGAAAACCATGACCATATATAGAGTCCTGAACGATAATATTAATAATCGCGGCGAAATTCGAACCCGCTAATCCGCAGAAATCAAAGGGGCGTAACTCTATATGCAAAGTAATGTGGACCAGTGCATGAATGTTTCACAAGTCCTAAACGTTTAGTTGAAATCAAGCATTGTGTCTTACCACAGTGACAGTTCGGATTGTGACAACTGGTAGTGTGACCGGAGGGAGTAGACGAGAGAGTACACCCACTACAGGTAACTCTTATCATTGAGCATTTAACACGATCTCGATCAACAACAAAGAGAGTTCTGTGGACATACAAGTTCTTTTATATAATATGAGCGACGTTTCGGTGTAGCTGCTAACACCGTTATCAAGCAAGCGTTAGTAGCTACACTGAAACGTCGCTCATATTATATTGATAGTAGATCCATAGAACTCTCCTCGTTGTTCATCACACCAACTTCTAAATGCCACTCAACGAAACTATGTCGATCATCAGAATTATTGAGAGCTGAATTGACAAGGCTTTGACACTAAATGGTTTTTCCTTTTAGTCATGATGTCAGATTTGTATGAATAAATTAGGACTGGTGGTATTTTTTGCAGAATGCTTTTTATCAAAATAAGGAGTATGGGCTGGTCTGGAAGACGTTTTAAAGAATATTTTGATTTTATGTGGGCTTATCAATTTAAAGGGGAAGGAATGCTGTAAGACATTTTATGTTTATCATTTTGTTGAAACTCCCGGATAATGAACTGCCATGACCTAGAAACAAAATCGAACCAGGATTCGAATCCACATTCACTGATTTTGTCAGCGAATTCACCTTATACCCTGTGTGCACAGCTTCTATATTTAACCTCGTATACATTCACGTAACTATCCTGACATATTTTTAAGCACATGAGATAATCTTACCCAAACTAGACTAACACAAACAGATAAATACTATCCCATCAAACTTTACCTGTCAGTAATAATATATTTATTCACTTCTAGTCTACATTTAAAGGCGCTAGGAGCGGTGGGGTAGCCTAGTGGTTAAAGCGTTCGCTCGTCACGCCGAAGGCCCGGGTTCGATTCCCCACCTGGGTACAGTGTGTGAAGCCCATATTTGGTGTCTCGACTTCTAGATCTATATCTAATGGCGCTCTCGCGGAATGGTAATTATTTTGTAGCATGATAATCTACCAACCATGGGGAGGAGGTTCGAACTTCAACCTTCTAGTTCGTTGAAACTAAAGGACGTTATTCTGTAAACTCCTCGTTACTAAACAAGTAATGAACTCCTCGTTACTCCATAAACAAGTAATGCACTCCTCGTTACTCTGTAAACAAGTAATTCACTCCTCGTTACTCTGTAAACAAGTAATGAACTCCTCGTTACTCTGTAAACAAGTAATGCACTCCTCGTTACTATGTAAAGTAACGAACTCCTCGTTACTCTGTAAACAAGTAATGCACTCCTCGTTACTATGTAAAGTAACGAACTCCACGTTACTCTGTAAACAAGTAATGCACTCCACGTTACTCTGTAAACAAGTAATGAACTCCACGTTACTCTGTAAACAAGTAATGAACTCCTCGTTACTCTGTAAACAAGTAATGAACTCCTCGTTACTCTGTAAACAAGTAATGAACTCCTCGTTACTCTGTAAACAAGTAAACAAGTAATGAACTGGTCGTTACTGTAAACAAGTTGAAAGAAGTAATGAACTCCTCGTTACTCCGTAAACAAGTAATGAACTCCTCGTTACTCCGTAAACAAGTAATGAACTCCTCGTTACTCCAGTAAACAAGTAATGAACTCCTCGTTACTCTGTAAACAAGTAATGAACTCCACATTACTCTGTAAACAAATAATGAACTCCTCGTGGTCCAGTGTACATGTACGGTCTAATGAAGTAAAAGTCTTCACTGTTTCCACAGTTACCGTGACGGCGCCGATGGGAAGTAGCACGAAGGAGAGTCCAGACACAACAGGTAACACTTATGACAAACATATTTAAGATAATCTGACCATACAAAAATGTCCATAACTTAATATTGGAGTTTTCTGATAATTTCGACCATGTGACTTTACAGATGAATCAGTCTTTTGGGGGTGGGGTAGCCTAGTGGTTAAAGCGTCCGCTCGTCACGCCGAAGGCCCGGGTTCGATTTCCCACCTGGGTACAAAGTGTGAAGCCCATTTCTGGTGATCCCTGTCGTGATGTTGCTAATAGCCCCTAAAGCTAAAACGCAAGTACTCACTCTACCTACTTGTATATTGACCCACCCACGACCGTGTAGATGCGGGTCGGATTAGTATTCAGCAACTCATACAGGTGACTTATGGAAATATCAAGGTTTACTGACTTCTTTGTGGAGGTCATCGCGTCCCAGTTGCGTCGATCGATGTTCGTGATATTCATCAGAGGACATTCAGGAAATAAACATTTACCTTCTTATACCCATTGCGGTGTAAAACGTTTTCGACAACTTCAAATATAACATATTACTTAGGTTTGTATGACTTATAGTAAGAGGAGAGTGGGGCTTCCTTACTAGGCTGTTTGAGGGTCATCGTGCTTCGATTGTTGTTCCTGTTTTTAATTCAGCGGTTTGTAGGATATTTGCAGATGGCCATCACATAACGGAAATACTGCTTCCTGCTAAAGCTACTCACTGAAACTCATTCAGTTACGTTACAAGGGATGGGCAACAAACATGATACATCACACTTCTAATAGTCTGAATATACAGTGTCTCCGGCATGAAATAAACAGAAATGGGCGGTGTGGTAGCCTTGTGGTCAGAGCGTTTGATTTTCACACCAAAATTCCTGGTTTGATTCCTCACATGGGTACAAAGTGTATAAGGCCCCTTTCTGGTGTCACCCACCGCGATATTGCTGGAATATTGGCACAAGCAGCGTCAAACCAAAACCTCACTCACACACTTAAAAACAAAGAGCGGTGGGTAGCCTAGTGGTTAAAGGGTTTGCTCGTAACGCTCAGAACCCGGGTTCGATTCCCCACATGGGTACAAAGTTTGAAAAGCCTCTTTCTGGTGTCCCCCACCGCGATATTGCTGGAATATTGGCAAATATAAACCATAACCTCACTCACTCACGAAAAAGCAACACAAATACACACCAGTATTTAACTGATTAAATCTTTTATAATAGCAAAGAGATATAGACTTTAAAATATAATCAATTGTTTTACTTATAGACTCCAGCCCGAACAGGACTAGCGTTGTTGCAGGTGCTGTTGTTGGAACACTTCTATTTGTAGCAGTGGTTTTAGTAATCCTATGGTGTTGGAGAAACAGGTAATACATAGAATATATAGAAACGACAGATACAGTTCCATACTCTCCTCCAAAAGTGTCCCTGGTACGATTAACCCCGTGTTAAAGAATCACTACCAATGGGTGATACAAGGTGTTCGCGAGAAGATGAATAAATACTTTCCTACACATTGGTGTCTACGAAAGCACACATAGACAAAAGGTCAATGTCGGTCGTGAATTATGAAACCCTGATGACAAAATGATATTATGATTACAAACCTTTTCTGGTTAGATTGTAAGTGTATCATCATGCTTCACGAAGGTTGTCCACTGATCATAAATGAATTAATCGACATAATGAAATCGTTTAAATGAATCTCATGTACTTCAAATGTGTATTGTAATTCGACAAGATTAAGCATTCTCTTTGATGTTTGTAACTGTACGTTATTTTATTTATCTTTAGGAAAGTTGATACAAAGCCTATCCCAAAAATCCCAAGGAGGACAACTCTGGATGGGCAAAGAAACTCAGCTGCGAATAGCCCACAAAATATTAGTTATGACGAAATCGACGACTTGCGGCAACATCTTGCGAGTAATTATGATTATGTAACTTCCAATCATGTAACTGATTCAAGTGCGTGTTTCATACTCCAAACTAAGGAACATCCAGTGATGAGCAATAATGGATCGAAGCCAGGAGATGAATACAACCATTTGGGACAAGGAGTTTCCCCCTGTCTGGAACATATGACACAACAGCGTCAGCAGCTAAATCGATGATGAGCAATAATGGATCCAACCCAGAAGATGAATACAACCATTTGGGACAAGGAGTATCCCCCATGTCTGGAACATATGACACAACAGCGTCAGCAGCTAAATCGATGATGAGCAATAATGGATCCAACCCAGAAGATGAATACAACCATTTGGGACAAGGAGTATCCCCCCTGTCTGGAACATATGACACAACAGCGTCAGCAGCTAAAGCAATGGAGCAAGCGAGGGACAGCCAAACTGATGCTTGCTATGATCATCTGAAACAGAAGACAGTCACTGAAAACATAAACAATACCTATGATATTACAGAGAAACATGTGAATCCTTACCAGTAACAAGATGGAACATTCCCTTAGTTAAGCACTGATGTGCTTTTAGTGACAATATTATCCTTCTCTAGCTTTTGTTGTGACTGATATACTGGATAAATGAATGGAGCACGTGGATTCAATAAGTTTGTAATACACAAAACGTTATCTTTCCTTCGTTTTAACAATGATTATACATGTACAGGTTCATTTCATTTGCCGCCATGGGGTGGTGGGGTAGCCTAGTGGTTAAAGCGTTCATTCGTCACGCCGAAGACCCGGGTTCGAATCCCCACATGGGTACATTGTGTGAAGCCCATTTCTGGTGTCCCCCGCCATGATTTTGCTGGAATATTGCTAAAAGCGGCGTAAAACCAAACTCACTCACTCACTCACTCATTTGCCGCCATAATACATATTGCAGCTTTGACAACAGATCATGCTTATTTTTTCACGTCCGAACGACTTTAATAATATATCAATGTATTCATCGTAACAATAAAGAATGTATAAAAAAGGAAATCAATGGTTTATGTGTTGGTGTCTGATGAGTTTACACATTTCCCGAATTTATCCTGAATTTCCATTCCACAATACCAAATGCCCATTCCTCTAGATTATTTTGCAATAAGTATTTTATTTCCTTCTGTCAGTAATATTAAAGATGCCGTTCTTGAGATATTTATTTCATCTTACTACAAGCAATAAACCGGAAACAAGTGTTTAACGTTTGAATTTGATCAGGGAAGGAGAGGACAATTTGAAATCATCGTACTGTAGATCATGTCATATTTAAAGGTGGTTAAAGACAAGGGTTGTCTGAAAGGTTCACAGCCTAACTACGCGGAAAGTATAGAACACCCTTTACAGCTTACATATATACAGACGATAAGTTCCATGAAGGCAGGCTGCCTTTTAACCATATACAGATTGCATTTTAACCACATACATGAACAGACAGAAAAAACATGCTGCTATAAGGCGCATTCTCTGGTGTTAAAAGTTAAAACGACCGCCTCATACTCATCAGCGCTACCCAAAAGGTCCATTATTTGCTGGAAGGCATGACCTAAATATATCGAACAGTCGCACTGAACATTTGTCCACTGCAGTGCAACGGTCCCAATGTCTTGTCTAGCTGAATTGTACCCCGAAGCAGGAAATATTTCGTATTGCATCCTTCCCTGTGACACGGACCTCCTTGAAGATGCTAGAACCCGAATGACAGTGTGCGACTTGAATACTGAAACACGAAGCATTATCTATTCTTTTCTTTTTTCAAATTAAGTGTTTGGATACGTTTCGTAATCCACTGTTCAAGTTTCTTCCAGAAAGTTTTGGTTTCATCATATTCCCAATATACATGGCATAAGGTTTCAACAGAATCATTAAACAAAGAACATATTGTATTGTTCACCAGATTCATTCTAAAAAGTTACTTTTGGTATAAACAATTCCGTTCAGAATATTATCTATTCTTCCCGAGAAATAGGGTTGTATCATTTAAGACCCCCAACGCAGATCTTGATAGGTATTTAGAAGTTGGACGAACATGAATACTTGACACGTTTTGATGGATAACAACCTTTATCATCCAAAACTGTGTTCCACAGGAGATATCGCTTGTGTGAGATCACGGAGATATCGCACTTGGGTGAGATATTTGTGTGAGATCAAACAATGATGACATCTCCTAGGGCAAGCCTCGGATATTTGTAACTTTATCAACTCGTGTTGATATAATTGATATCAGAAGACACTTGGGTGAGATTCTCTATCTCTTTGTTTTTGAAATAACCATTCAGAGCTAATTCTTGCTTCTTCATCGGATGGATGAAGGAGTCACAAAACGTAAATGCCTCCATGTGTAACTGCCAATCTGTACACTTTAGTTGAACCCCAAAGTCAGGAAGCAAACGTGCTCATTAAATATTGTCTGTTTCGGAAACCTCCATAAAATAAATCGTAACCATGCCATGAGTTCAAATACGACGTGTCAAGAAGAACAGGATCCCGATCCACAAAGCGGACGAACTGTCGTAACTCTATAGTGTAACATAGGCTTACGAATGTCGTAGCGTTACGAACGTTTTGTGGATAGGGACCCAGGTACAGTTACAAAAAAGAACCACATATGATAAAAACAAGACAGGTAAAGTGCGTATTCGCCAATGTAAGATACAACCTAGTATTACGACATTAGTGCGAAAAGGATTTGTCTGACAAATGCAATGACATATACAGCCTCAGAGCAAAGGAATACCAAGTCGTCACTCTCCCCAGAAAACGAATCCCCCTTGTGGTATGGCAACATTATCTGTGCAAAATTATATGAATCGACCTCAGGAAATCACTGATCGCATCAGGAGTTCGTTAAAATCAGGAGAAGCACGTCTGTCCCCACCGGTAGCACCCATTCACACAAGCTGCCTGAAAAAAAGTAACTATTCACAGCCAGACGCCGCAAAAATACTACTCTTGCCATGAGACGGTGGCCTGTAATCAAGCCGGACAATCTTGCGATCAATGAACCAAATTATCCAGTTGTTAATGTTAGATTTCAACTTCAGAGTAGATTTTCAGACACATGATCTAAAAGAATAATTAGGTTTGATTGCGTCACAGCTGTGGTCAGTTTAAACAATTCTTTTGCAGTTGGTTCAGCACAGATAAATGATGCTCAGGTTATGCTGAAACTCTGAGGCGGTACCAACGGCGACATCGATTCATTTCAATTAAACATTCAATCCCACTACAGAAGAAATACAGTTTGTGGTTACAGACAAAAACTGCCGTAGAGAAGAAAGTACACTCATAGTGCTGTGGGATTATATTTCAAAACTGAAAAGGACTTTACCAGTGCTGAGGGTGGAACATGATGCACATTGCTGTGTTTCTTCAGAATTGTGATAAGGCGGAATTTCTTAGTGTCAGTCAAGTAGTAGAGGATTCATCCCTCCTATTGTACAGGTTGCAAAAATATATTCTGGATGTACGATTCACCTTCCAATGTGTGGTAATCAAGATAACCATTTTGCTTAAGGATACAACAGTTTAGGTTTACACAAGTCAAATGCTTTACATGTACATTGTTATTATAATATTCTGCCAGTGGTTCTTACACGTTTCAGTTTCCGTGTGTAGACCACAACTGCTTCCGAAATATTTGACTGGAATCCATAGTGGGTGTTTTCTCATCAGTGCTATTGGGTGTATATAGGGGTCTTTGTTTGCATCTGTCTGGAACAGCGTATATTATTTTATTATATATTATTTGTTTCTTGTCCCATTGTTGTCCAGTGCGTTATCTTTACATATACCTTTAAGGAATATGTCGTCAGTGACAAGTGAATCTTGCAATTTCGGAAGGATAATGCGATCGCTCATTTAAAATGTCGATTGAAGCTGTTGGAACTGACGGTTAGCATAAAGGTATCCCACGAGTGTTGCAAGTTAGCTTAACCAGTATATGGCACCAATCCCTGGAAATGCTCAAATAAATTCTACTCTGTCAGGATACCCACCTCCACATAGAGGCGTACACCATCACAATTATGTTATTACATAATTATTAAGATAAAACTGTAGCAGAGAGAGTTCGTATGGTCCTGACACAGCCTGGCTCATCATCAGCTCAGCTCAGGGCCCTTGCCCCTCTACACGCAGCCCAGGCAGCGAATGGGACTTTTTTTAGTCGAACCAACAAAGAACTTTAAGGAGAATATGAAGGCTCCCCAACAGTGAAGCCTTCTGCAATACCCAGAGTGTCAGAAGGACTGTGCCCCCGGTGGAGAACTTGGGCACTCTCCTGATCTGCGCCAAGAGATCAGGAGGTACCAAACCAAGGGCACCGAGAACAACGAGGTACCCTACGACAGTGTATTTGGGATGCAAGCGAGACATCTCAAAGGCGAGGTCCGCATATATAGCATGCTTTTCCTGAATCTTGCCAATCACTTTGCTGTCAAAAGGGACAGAAAATTCCCAATCCTAGTGACCAGCATACATAAATGTATTAACGATTAGTGTTGAGCCGCCACTATCAAATCATCACATTGCCAATTGTGTACACAGCGTCGAAAACAGATTAAACCTCGCTGATCACATGTCATGTTTGTCAGTTAGTCACGATCCGCTTTGAACTTCCTTGTCTGGCGACGTCGAAACGAACGCCAAGCAATAGTGAACCTGGCACCTCATGGCAGATTTGACGGTTGATAAATGTATGCCTTCCAAACAAGGAAGTGGGGGAAAGGAAGGAATGAGATCCTATTGTTCGGTACTGAGATAAAAGGGTGTTAACTTCCGACCTTCCACTTAGAGAAGGCGGTGGTCGCACTGACCCGTCTAGTCAAAACCAATGCTGAATGATAAAGAGTGAGTGAGTGAGTGAGTGAAAGAGTGAGTGGTTGAAGGAGTAAAAATGTCTGTGAAAGAGCGAAGAGGGAATGACAGTGAACGAACAAGTGAAGGAAGGAGGGAGGGATAGAAAAAGGAATGAGTTCACCATTAACAACCTGACAGATCCTTACAGTCATACTCTTGTAATGAGTGAGTGAGTGAGTATGGTTTTACGCCGCTTTAGCATATCACGGAGGGGGGACACCAGAAATGGGCTTCACACATTGTACCCATGTGGGGAATCGAACCCGGATCTTTGGCGTGACGAGCGAACGCTTTAACCACTAGGCTACCCCACCTCCCCTATTATTGTACAAAAGGGAACTTGTCATATGGTAGGTCAGTCATTTGGTTTGTTGATTGGTTGTCTAGCCAAAACTAGCCACAGTAATAAAGCCGGAATACTGCTGATTGCAATGTCAAACAATACACAAGCAAACAAATCGAAACACGTTTCTTTGTCAAGAACTTCATAAATGCCCTTTGCTTCGAAGTGATGAAATGCTTATGGGCAACTATTTCTCAACTATATTCAATTTGAAGTGTAGCTTGGAATACGATTGACTACAAAGAGCCGGAATGTCTTCAATACATGCGGTAACATAATTATTGCAGCTGCGTAACTTTGTTAACCCTTCTCGTAATGCACCCTTGATGGCGGAGGATGGAACCCCATAAACATGAGGCGTTGGCGCAATCAATTACCATGTTGAATAAAGGCCACCTCTGTAATGACCATGTTGTTTCAAATCTTCCACGTTTCAACTATCTTGATAACCGTTTAGCATACCCTAGCTATATGTTCCCCCGATTATATTAATAATTTTGTTTCTATTTTATTCTTATTTTCGCCACCAGACTACTACATGCATGCATACGCAGTATACTAGTATTTCTATAAGGAAATACATGCAGCATGCACTTTGTAACCTGGGATTAGGTTCCTCGAAACATATTTTATCTAATGATTGATCTACCTGAACATCTGATCAGTAAATGCTGTTGGTGTTCATGGTAAGCTGGCATTTAACTGAACCATATTCCTGAACACCTCCCGAGTATGCTGAAGCCACGTATTTTACAGTTATTTGACGTTCTATCGCAGTTATCATGAACTTTGTTTATACAAGGAAAACAAAACAACCTTTCGAAACCTGAATTTGCGACAGATATTCTCCTTCCGTCTTAAAATAAGTTACGGTTTCATTACAAGTGTGTGTTTGTATGTCCTCAAGCATTCACTGGGAGGGAGCGTATATATCGTGTACGTGTCATGTTTATGATGCTCCCTCCAGAAGACGCTTCAATCCCAGGTAAGACGTTCACTCTACCTCTTAATTCGTTGTGGCAACATCTACTCAAAGACAAATCTAAATATGTTCTTTGATTGGCATTCTAGAAGTTGGGTAGATGAAGAATGAGGGCTATTTTTATGAATATACTACTTCTTTATTCTATAGAGGAGAAGTTTCGACATAGATTCTCATGTCCTTGTCAAGCAAGTGGTACATGGGAAGTATTTTAGGTGATATATATACACGAGATGCTTGTACAATAGGTGGGGGATGAGGCGAAAATGAGTTGTTTATACAATAGAATAGGTTGATAACACAGAATTAAGTAGGTTGATAGGACGCCAGTAAAGAACATGTACATAGTTGTATACATATGGGATTAAGGATGTCGATAAGCTGCCAGTAGGGAATGATATACATAGGTTGTTTACATAAGTGATAAAGGGACTGTTGGGAAGCCAGTGGCGAAGTGATGTTTAGACAATGGATAATGTACAGTGTTACACAATGGATAATGTACAGTGTTACACAATGGATAATGTACAGTGTTACACAATGGATAATTACAGTTTTACACAATGGATAATGTACAATGGTTGAGTAGGGTTACATGAAGTTAATTGAGCAAGCGATGATAGGCCTTGGGGGTGAAATATCCTTCATCTCTGTTGATGGCTGGGTACATCTTCTTTATATGGACAGCTTCAAGTAGTTTTCGGGTTTTGAAATCAGGCTGGTTCATTTCGATGACGTTGGTGGTGTTTCAACTGATGTTGTGGTTTGGGGTGGCTTTAAGGTGGTCGGTTATGGCGGATTTAGAGTCTTTGTTTCTTACTGAGGCCTGGTGTTCTTTGATCCTAATGGTGACTGGTCATGATGTTTCACCAATATAGGAATCGCCGCAGTCGCATTCTATCTGGTAGACTACACCTGCGGGATGTGGCTTCTTTGCCGGGGTGGGTCTGCCTGTGGTCTACCAGATAAAATGCGACTGCGGCGAAAAAAATTCGTGTACGCCCGATAGGTTGCAAAGCTTTATATTTAGATAGTACTGAGGGCTCGCCCCACCTTTTTAGCGAAACCAATAAATGAATAAATTATGGTAACTACTCCCCTTGAAAAGTATACATTATGCGCAGTTTTCATTGTGTTAGATGTGAAGGTTAGGGTTGAAGATCTGGTTACTGAACTTTCCGATGCCGTTGAAAAGAGGAAGAGGTTTGGCCTTGCATGAATATACCTTAATTTATCACATTGTCCCCTAGCCTGTGTATATAAGTCAGGAGCACGTCTGTGTTTGCCCTGAAATAGATATATCCATTCTGCACTGAAAACGTATGTAAACTCATGATATGAAAGCTTCCGCCTTCCTTGCATCAGGACAATTGACGCAACGAAGGTGATGCGTATGTATGTAGATCATATGTATGTATGTATGTATGTATGTATGTATGTATGTATGTATGTATGTATGTATGTATGTATGTATGTATGTATGTATGTATGTATGTATGTATGTATGTATGTATGTATGTATGTATGTATGTATGTATGTGTGTGTGTGTGTGTGTGTGTGTGTGTGTGTATGTGTGTGTGTGTGTGTATGTATGTATGTATGTATGTATGTGTGTGTGTGTATGCATGTATGTATGCACATTTCACCCGTGCATGTCCGAGATGGGGGAATGAGGACGACTCGACTCATTGCTGATCCTTACGTTCTATGGACATTGTACGCTGATTATTTTTGCAAAGGTGATTGCAACACCGATGATTGATACACAGGTGAACACTGATGGTTTATTCAAAGTAAACAGTTGCGTTGCTGTCATGAAAGACACGTCGATCAACACGACTTATAAACATGTCAACAAAGGGTTTGATTATCTCGACCTGTCGAATGGCCCTTCCTTGCACATAAAGGAATGGTGTCCGCTCAGTTACACCCGTACCTCAAAACCATAACCGGTCTACCGACAAACCTGTCATGAGATGCCAGGTTGATATGGCTGACCGTACGTTTCGATCGTCACTAGACGCGAAAAAGCCTAACAAGGAAGTGCAAAGCGAATCGTGACTCATTGACAAACATGACATGTCATTAGCGAGCTTTTTATCAACGTTCGATGCTGTGTACACGATTGAAAATATGACGATTTGTAAGTGGCGGCTCAACACGTGATCGTCGAACGTTCAGATGAGCTGTAAATGATGATTACCTGCCAGAACTGTAACCGACTGACACCATGAGGTGAAGATGCTGCAATTAGATTCTCCGTTGAAATGAACTCACGCATCTATCTTTCGTTCTTATCTGTGTTTGTTATGACCTGGGACGCCCTAAACGGAATCGACGGCAACATTTTGGGTTTGATGCTGTCAGTCAATGGTCAGCTAACCACAGACCATACCACGGAACCTCGAGGTCATTGCATGCTGACTTCTACCAGTGTCCAGTGTGTGTGTTCCCGGGTGCTACATCATTTGTCCATTCCCAAACAAAGAAAGATGTCAAATAAATCACAACGGTGTGATAAGCATTTGTTGTTGTATGTCAATGGTCACCTAACCGCAGATTATACCAATAAACGTCGTGATTATTACATGCTGACTTCTATTTCCGGTATGTTTGTAACCCGGGCGCTGCATTGTTGTTCATACCCAAGCAATGAATAATAATAATAATAATAATAATAATAAATAATAATGATTAATTTGTATTGCGCTCAGTGGTGGTTAATAGTTTCTGATCTATATGTCAACTTTGGATTAAGAACTGGAGTTGTAGGCGTCATTGAAGAGGAAAGTTTTCAAACGGCTTCAAAATGATGAGTAGGTATCTGCACTCTTGATCTGTTGTGACAGGTGATTCCACATATTGGGAGCCTGCACAGAGAATGCTCTGTCAAGTAAATCCCAACAACTATATATTAAGCATAATCAAAAATACATAATAGCCTAGAGATATTAATCTACCTACCTTGATAGTATCAAACCAGGAATGACGTCCTTCAAGCATGTGTGGCTCTCCTGGTGGAGCCACGTAAAAACATATAGGATATGTGTTTTGGCGTTACGTTTTACAGACATAAACGGTCTTAAATAGGGCATTTGTCATCATCACTTTGTTTACATTCACATCTCAGTATCTCCTATTTAAGACCATGTGATCACTGATCACCGTGGATTTAGCAATATTCCGCGGGGGGTAAGTTAAAACTGGACTTCATATCTCTAGTTTGATATTTGCTCAGTTGCTCTCAGATTACCAGAACAAATGCATTTATTTATTTATTGTATTGAAGATCTGGGTTCGATTCCCCACATGGGTGCAATGTGTGGAACATATTTCTGGTGTTCGTGTTATTGCTGCAATATTGCTCAAAGCGACGTAAAACCATACACACCCACTCCAATAGCATTACGTACAGAGAAACAATTGACTGTGCACATGTCACTTGAATTCAAATTCAAATTTGCAGTTGGTGCAGCCGGCCAGTGCGCCATAGCAATCGTTGGATCGTCGTGTGTTGTTCTACTACTGATGTACTGCGTATGGATAAGGTACGTATCCATTGTGAGTGAGTGAGTGAATGTTGTTTGATGCCAGAGGTAGCGATAATCCATCTATTTATTGGTGCTGCATTAGCTATCGAACCTGACCAGATAAACATATGAATGATGGTGAAAGTCATTGATCTTCGTAACGGTGCGATGGACCGTTGAAGATCCGGGTTACAATTGGCATTCAGTAAACCATGCTTCCCACAAAAGGCGACTATGGTCGTAAGAGGCGACTAACGGGATCGGGTGGGCAGGCTCGCTGACTGGGTTGACACATGTCATCGTATCCCAATTGCTTAGATCGATGTTCATGCTGTTGATCGCTGGATTGCGTCGTCCGGAATCCGCTAGAAGTATTAACAGGTTGCCGCCATATAGCTGGAATATTGCTGAGTACGGCGTAAAAAACAAACAAGGGTGCGAGCTGTAACGAAATGACGACAAAAAGGGGAGCAAACGGTCGGATCCGGTGACTCGGATGCTGCATGTCATCGCATCCTAATGGCCTAGATCGATGTTCATTAACTCGACCATTTACAGGCAACCGACATACTTATTGAGTGTTGCCGAGTGCGGCATCAAACAACATGCAACGAAACCAAACCATTTACATGACACAAATATTTCTGAACAAAAACAGCGCCAGATGGGAATAGTTGTTTACTAGGAGTTCTTGTGTTACAAGCATATATAACACAGGGGCAACAGTAAGATGTATGAATGATTGCAATCATGAACGTAATAAAGGACCTGCTGATTCCAGTCGATTGGGATGGTGCTTCTGAAATTATTTTGAACTATCTGGAGAAAGGACCCTATGGTTGCTAAACAATTTTCGACATTACCTTGCATTGGTTGCGTTATTTTTTGCCGTTAAAGTGAACGTTTAAACTTTAAGTGGATGTTTTGGCTCCTCATCGATTGCAACAACACTGCGTGAATATACAAGAATCATTGTTCCGTAGATGCAATAGTTTCAACAACACCCACGTGAAATGAGATTGCTATGACTGTCATTAGTGGACATGATAGCTTCCACTGTGAAATTAAAATATGTTTTCTTTTCAGAGGTCTTAAACTTCCTCGGTGGGTGTCGAAGCGACGCACGCGCTACAAGACTCCCGTTGCCCGATATCACAGCGATTATGGCGTTGAGTTCGACCTTGACGACGCCTACGCCTACGCAAGCGTGGACGACCAAGACCTAAGAAATGAACCAACATCTAGTCAGGAAAGGACAAGCAGTTATGATCAAATAGGTGGCGCTTCCGGCATATATGAAGATACGTCATTAAGACTCCAGCCTAACGCCTCGTTGAATACCAGTCTAGAAGGTACAGATTACAGCTACAACCACCTGAACCACAAACCCAAGCCAAGAGTCCTCAACCATCAATATGACTTAGTCATTCCCCAAGGACTAGAAGCTGCGCCACCTTCAACGCCAACGGGTTCTCAGCACCACGTTCTTGGTCCACCTGTGGTCCAAACATTGGTAAAAAATGACTACGACGTTGCGAGGACATCGTCAGTAGTTTATTCAGTAGCCTCAGATCCTAGTAGCCCCATACAACCATCAGAAGCTGATGTAAAGGACGACAGCAGTGATGAGGAAGCGCGCAATTCTGACACTGATGAAAACCAGTGTATTAACAATGTTCGTGTCAGTTTAGATGTTGGCGGAGAGATAAGTCAGTGCAGAGATGAAAGTGAACCTGTATATGCATTGGGCACCGTCATGGCTAGGCCTGACAGTACGTCTCAGATATACGACATCCCGATGCTACCAGTGTCTAAAATAGGAGCGTCGGAGCAGAAGGAAAAGGCTGTTCTACAAAAATGTCTAAGTTATCCTGAAACCGTGGCGGAAACCCAAAATGTTCAGCAAGTGTATTCAGTGGCTACTGGTATTGAGCCTGTCTGTGAAACTAATGCCAATACCAACAACCGTGAAATCCGGGAGAAACAGGAGCCCAAACCTGCCAAGGTCAAACCTCCCATAAAGAAGAGGCTAAAGGTGAAAACACCATCCAGGTCTGTCCAGGCCTTGGCAACGTTCTATGACACGCAGCTAGATGCTTGTTCACTTGTGAAGAAGCCTCGTAGTCCTAGCTCAGATCTGATATCTGAGTGAGTGAGTGAGTGAGCGTGTGAGTATGTTATATCAGTCTTAACCCACTCTTAGAGTCTCACAGTTAGTGACTCACAACGTGTCAGCTTAATGTTGGGGAACTGCCCAGAAGACAAGACTGCCCATACTCAGACCGGACCTAGATGTGTCTACCCCTTTGGTGAAACCCATGAGCACTGCTATGGTCCTGACAAACCGAGATTCATAATCGGCAAACCTTGATAGGAACACAAATGCTGGGCAGGTTTCTTGTGTGTTGAATGGAAGCAACTCTGGCGGCAACCCCTTTGCTGAAAACCGGACAAGATGCTGACACAATAGACGTGACACAAGATGTTGGTCATTTGCTCAGACCAAGGTGTCTGAGGAAGGTTTAAAACTTAGACTAAAGGACTTCGAGGCTCGTGTGTCTTTATTTTATTATTCACGTGCAACTTTTGTAACGCTGGAATTAGCACCAGGATTGTACACACAGCCTAGAACGTGCACTAATTCTGGAGTTTCTACATTGAGAAATTAAGACGCCATGATTAACGACATTCTGCCGCGTGTAACCAGGCTGAGGACTCAGGACTCATTTTCGTTTGTGTATATATAACTTTTCTTATAAAGCAGGAAGTGTTATCTAACATTCGAAAGAGTCAATGATTAGTAGTAATATTGGATTCTTGATGATTATGTTTGACCTTTTTATACTCGTTTCTGGCACCTACCATAATTAATAGTATCGAGGCCTGCTTCATCTGTTTGAGACATATTAGTAAAAGCGAGCGATGGCACATTATGCCTCTTCGCGTTAAATCTCATTACCTCTAAGAAAACAAGCCTTACAGCATGCACAGCGTAATTTGCAATGCTTTTATAAATCATATTTGTTCACCACCTCTGAGAAACTATAACCTTCTTTGTGTGTTATTTAAAATCAAAGTTAACAGTACTTCAGAACGTCACCGCCTATGTTACGCATACTAAAAAACATATGGTGACAAATGATTTCAATCTCTAATATCCGTTCTGAAACACTTGAAAACGCATATTATTGTATAAATATGTCGTACTTGTAGTGTAGGTATGAGATAATAAAAAATGTCGTTATGGTTTGAATCTTATTGGAAGGATTTGAGGCAGATGCGTGAGCTCGTGAAGATCCGGGTTAGAATTGATCTTCAGTAACCCATGCCTGTCGTAAGAGTGAGTGAGTGAGTTAATATTTAACGTCACATCGGCAAGATCTCAGCCATATCGTGACGAGAACAATTTAACTTATATCAATATAAAACAATAGATTGAGAAAATACAAACCTTTCATCGAAGGATAGTAAAACTACTAGAATATCACAACTCTTAATTTAAAACTAGTACGCTGTCATACAAATATATCACTATAGACAAATATACAATATAAAACCGGTCTATAGATCACCAGCAACTGATATTAGGGACCATGGGCACTTACAGTACTTTGGCTACCTGCATGGACCCTAGCTGGATTTTCACCACCCCTTAAGCCACTGGTGATTGTAGTGAAATTTAGCCATTATTTAAAACAACAATTATTCTACGATTAAAATTATGCAGGTCGAAATTGACTTTGAAAGTTTTGAGACTTACGTATTCTCTCAGTAGAAGCCTGTCGTAGGAGGCGACTAAGGGGATCGGGTATTCAGGCTCACTGACTTGGTTGACACATGTCATCATATCCAAATTGCGTAGAACGATGCTCATGATGTTGGCCACTGGAATATCTGGTCCAGACTCGATTATTTACAGACCGCCGCCTTATAGCTGGAATATTGCTGAGCACGGCGTAAAATTAAACTCACTCACTCGCAGATGCGTGATCTGTGATAGGTGGTGATGATCATGACCAACACGCATACTCTCGGCATTGAACATTCATCCTTGTTTATTCAATACTTATATACTTATACTTATATTTGGTCCGCATACCACTATCTTCTTTTCCAAAGTGTACACTGAAACTGAACTATGAATTCATTGTTAATTTAGCGCATGCAAATACGGGTATTATTTTCATTTTTGGTAATTCCGTACTGCGGAGTCTAAGTTGTTATAACTAGTCCCCAGTACAATAACTTTGTGAACACATCGTGTTAAATCCACTGGTAAAACCACATGATTGTGACATGCTATTTTTGTCCCGTAAGGTCAAGTGTGATGGAAATGAATAAACGGGCACACTTGCAACAAGGAAACAAGTCCCATATGAAATGTAATGATAGCATACAGCAATACGAGGAGGCTAACCGCTCTGATCATTATGCGCATTTTAACTCCAAATTCATACTGTATAAGATTAAATCGTGCTGATATTAATGGAGTCATTAAGTCGGGTTTAATTTGCACTGAGTTTGTTCGTTCGTTCGATCGTTCGATCGATCGCTCGCTCGTTCGTTCGGTTGGTTAGTTTGTTGCATCTTTTTTTCTTTCTTCTTCATCTTTAAAAAGTTCACTTATGTCGCACTCACCAGTATTACCATAATATAATAACGAGTTCCTGTACTGAATCGTTTTAGGCTTACGATTTCATACAAGTGGTCGTTATTATGAGCAGCTATCCAGACCAGTCAGGTCATGATGACACGCTGGGTATAAATGAGAGAGTTTAGTTTTACGCCGCTTTTAGCAATATTTCAGCAATATCACGGCGGGGGATACCAGAAATGGGCTTCACACATTGTACCCAGGTGGGGAATCGAACCAGGGTCTTCGGCGTGACGAGCGACGCTTTAACCACCATAGGCTATCCCACCGCCCCCGCATTGTATGATGTCACGGAACTTGTCCCACCTGACCCATACTGTCGCCTGGTACCAGGAGAAGTGATTCACAGGGTCTGTCTTAGCGTCCTGGTCGCCGACTAACCTCTCGAATAGCAGGTGTCATCCTGGTTAACTGACTGACTGACTGAGTTTGGTTTTACGCCGTTTTTAGCAATATTCCAGCAATATCACGGCGGGGACACCAGAAATGGGCTTCACACATTGTACCCATGTGGGGAATCGAACCCGGGTCTTCGGCGTGACGAGCGAACGCTTTAACCACTAGGCTACCTCACCGGGTTAACAATGAACTGTGTATGAGTGGGCCTGGGGCCGTATTGATCATTTTCGTCGTTTCTGTCGCATGAGTGAGTGACTGTATGTCTGTAAACAATGGTCACTTTATATCAGTATGGGGCCTTCTACTACTGAGGAGGTTTTTTATGACGTGTAGCAGACACCGATAACCTTTTTTGTCATTTATAATCCTAGTGCGTGAGTGAGTGAGTGAGTATGGTTTTACGCCCTTTCTAGCAATATCCCAGGGCCCCCTTAACCCCCGTCCCCTAGCCCCCTGTTGTTACAAGCTACTATTTAGTTTCTCTAGCCCCTCGGCTGGCTGTTCTGTTAGCTGTTCTCACTCCCCTGTAACAGGATTAAGTACTATTAATCAACTCGTCATCTCTATCTGCATATTGCTTTCTACCTGTAGGAGCAGTCTGTCCACATTTAAGTTGCAAAAGCTGTACTTGGCTGGATGCTTCCTCGTGGATAAATAAATGGCTGTTGGTTCTGGGACCGTCATACTTAAAGATGGCTATTTTATAACAGCAATTTATCCTACGTCAAAACACCTAACCTAACGAGCTTAGTAGCAATTAATCTAGTTACACGGGAGTGAGTACAGCTGACACAACAGCCAGGCGAGGGGCTAGAGGTACTAATCAGTGGCTTATGACGAAGGATATATTGCTCTTATGAAATAGCCATGTCACCAGAAGTTCAGTATGATTCTGGATGAACGGACAATACCCACTGGACATATGGAACTTCTTTAAGTATGACGGTCCCAGAACCAGTACTTAATCCAGTTACAGGGGAGTGAGTACAGCTAACAGAACAGACAGGCTAGGGGCTAGAGGTACTAGATAGTAGCTTGTAACAACAACCTGCTATCCTGACGATTTCAGACGTAATCAAAACGTCCAACAGGCCCTCGTGTCTTTGCGAGGATTAAAGATGTTGAGAAAAATATGAAAAGATTTGAGATGACCCCCGACTCGAAATGCTTCACAGTACAGTACATTATGACATAATGTATTGTACTGTGTAGCACTTCGAGTCAGGGGTCATCTCCAAAATATTTTGTTTAATCTTTAATCTTCGCAAAGACACGAGAAACGTCCGTGTAAACGCGGTTCGACTGTATATGATTGTATCACCAGGATGTCACATCTCCGGACGTTATGACAGTCAAGACAGTGTTGAGACATGAGTAACGAAATGATTAGTCATGTCTGTTTCCGGGTGATATCGAGCCAGTCGTATTTGCATAGACGCGTATACGTACTGATATGTAGTTCTTCCCGCCTACGGGCGGTTTCCTAGGAAATCCCGACTCACGTAATCGTTTGGACACACATACGTTTCAGGTCAACACGGATGGTATAACGGTGACACTTTTAATGCATATTTGGCAATACTTGTTACATTTGGGGTAACGCCTTCTCAGTAATGTAGTTTGATTACTTGAGTTTCATCTGGGTTTCGAATCCACACTCTCAGAGTGAGATACTTAAAAGTCAGCAAACATATGTATGTATGTATGTATGTATGTATGTATGTATGTATGTATGTATGTATGTATGTATGTATGTATGTATGTATGTATGTATGTATGTATGTATGTATGTATGTATGTATGTATGTATGTATGTATGTATGTATGTGTGTGTATATGTGTGCGTGCGTGCATGCATTCATGCATTCATGTATGTATGTATGTATGTGTGTGTGTGTGTATGTGTGTGTGTGTGTGTGTGTGTGTGTGTGTGTGTGTGTGTGCTTGCTCGCGTGCGTGCGCACGCATAAACATCACATATTTTCATACGTTTCCTGCTGTGTCGAGTATAACATAACTGGTGTGGCAGCCTTCATTTTCTGCGTGCATGAGTGCGTACGTGTGTGTTTACGAAGGGACTTCAAGTCCTTAAATAACCCTTTGCCTCTGTAAAGCCAGAAGTCGGTTATTCGAGCTTACAAGGACGATATGCATTTGCTGTTAGAGTGGAGGTTGGGATGGAAGTGACATGGGGTCAAGGGTTGTGTCAGATACTTTGGGGTCTGCAGTGGATCCCGTCGTCAAATAGCGGAATATAGCCGAGTAGGGTGTCAAAAAAGCGTCATTTTCAAAAATGTATTAAGGTCAGCCTAGGCATTTCGACAGAAGGGAAGTAACTCAACATATCAAAAAGCCATGACCCAAAATACGATTGAAGCATCCGTAAAATAATACAAGCTTTACAATACAAATATCATCAGACAAATCTTTCATACACTGGATTGCGAGGTAATAGTGATTAATTCGCAACTTGTGGATTTTAATATCTGGATCATTCTTCCCTTCCTACCACCAGAACGTACATGAAAAGTCTGATCGATCTGGAAACTCGTGTAACGAAATTAATATTCAGTTATAAGAGTGAGTGAATTCAGTTTTACGCCACACTCACCAATATTCCAGCTCTATGTCGGCGGTCTGTAAATAATCGAGTCTGGACGAGACCATCCAGTGACCAACATCATGGGTATCGATGACATGTGTCAACCAAGTCAGTGAGCCTGACCACCCGATCCCGTTAGTCGCCTCTTACGACAAGCAAGGGTTGCTGAAGATCAATTCTAACCCGGATCTTCACGTGTTTCAATTAAATAGCTCTGCTGTTAACTGTAGCTCACGATGTTCATTTCATTATGTTCAACCATGCACCACGTCCTGGAGGAATCCTGGTGTGAAATGTAGAATTAGCACCTGCAGCAATCAAATGTCTTTTCACAATTTTTAGCAGTATTGTACCCATGTGGGGAATCGAACTAGGGTTTTCGGCGTGAAGAGCGAACGCTTTTCATCACTAGGCTACCACACCGCACAGATCTACAGGAAGGAGATTTAAATGCTCTCTCTGTGCACAAGTCAATCACAAAAAGGATGTTATCAACATCGTTGTTGTCAAAATTATCAAAAATATCAACGTCAATACAGGAATGTGGTTGAGGTGTTTGTGCCACCATATATGACGTTTGGTCGGCAATATAGTGCGTTACGACAAAGTAGTCATATCATACAGAAGCCACAGGCCCTCTTGTCACTGTGAGGATTAAAGAAAAATTATTTTAAAATTGACATAACCCCCGACTCGAAATATATCATGATTTATTGTACTAATTCATATTTTTTTATAAATCTTTAATCCACGCAAAGACACGAGAGCCTGTGACAGAAGCCAGTGGTTCGCAGATAGAGACTATGACGCGAGCAAGTGTGTCATACACATTTACGAGGCGAATATAAGAATTCTTGTAATGCTCGAGCGAGATCGAGGGCAGTGGATGGATTTTCACACGAAGATCGTGAAATCAGTATAGGGTGATAATTCTTGTCTTTCATCCTTCCTCAATCCTTCTGACATCCATCCCCAGTTGAAAAATGCACTCAGAATACAAGTGTTGAAAGATGTCAACAATCTTCATTTTATGGAATCAGCAATGACTTGATAATCCGCTGTTGTGTGTGAAGTGCTACTTACAGTAAGATGTTCATGAACTCAGGTAGTTGAAACTCAGTGACTAATGATATGTACAGTAGAATTACTGGACTTTGTAATACGATGACACTCAATCAACAAACGCCCGATCGACTGTTGCGACAAGCAGTTGATATTGTGTGTTTCTATGTTCTTTGATGAGTTTATTCATTATTCATTAGTCTTTGGCAAACCATGGGAACTATTCACATAGTGGATTTCAGAATGTATCTCTGCTGCTTTACTACACACCGTTTATGTCAGCCATTTTCCATGGCGCGTCGAACAGATTCTCCGTTTCTGATTGGTCAATGTTCCCATCCTTATTCATATCAGCAGAGGGAAGTTCATCATGTAATCTGGTGTGACATATACGACAGCTTACATGTGTTTTAGTTATATTATAAAGTAATCACTTCTCATTTCGATTTAATTTGAAATACCAATTCGCATTGCATGAATTGGATGATGGTATACCGTTTGGGTTTGTTGCTTTATATACTCTCTCCAAAATGAAACGCACAGGTGATATTGATGTACGAAATTTCAAATAAGTTTCAAACTGTGAGTGAGTGTTATAATTTCGTCAATGTAATGCTGGTTTGTGTATATGGAACGAACGCACAGCGCAAATAGGAATCTTTGGAAACGTTACTGCACGTTTGCGTTCGAAACTTGCATGAACATGACATAGAGAAAAGTGGTTTGCAATATGCACGTGAAGTTCTTATGAAACGTGAGCAGGGACATTGCCTATATAAGGGGCCCTTTTGCTTTTAGACGCACATTGACATATTGTTAGCTAAATGAAAGAGACTTATTCTGTCCATGCCGACACGGTGCAGAGCAGTTTTGGGGACTCATGGTGGCCACAACAGATACTGAAGACAGCACCCAACTGGGAACATACGCCTTCACTTATTGAACTTTATATTAGCTATACATGTTAAAAGACATTTTGGTCGTTTATATTGTGAAATTTGGCTGCAACTAATCCAGAATTTCATTTGTTATCTCACTTGAAAGTTACCAGATTAAATTCGTGAAAATACACCTTTGAGTTTCTTATTTGGAGAGAATACTGTAATGTTTTTTTATTAATAATATACTAATGAAGATAATCACGCATGTAGGGGACATTTTGATAACTTATAGAGAGTAATTTGGAGCATACAGCAAATTGCTAAAGCTTAGTTTGAATGCACAGATGTAAAGATCATACACACGACGTTATTTTGCAAATATTTATTTCCAAGCATCATGTTATGTCATCATAATGCGCTTGTTTTCAAACATCTATTCAGCATCTGAAACAAATAAAATGCACAGATAAAGATGGGTTCATTTGTTACTTATTATCACAAGAGTGAGTAAGTGAGTTAAGATTTTAAGTTACATCGGCAATATGTCTGCCATATCGTGACTAAAACTAGTTCTAAATTCATAATGATATAGAAAACTCTGTCAACGAAGGGCAGTAAAATTACTAGATTATCGCAAAATGGGTTAAAACTAGCTAGCAGATATCGTTAAAAGTAGAACAATATTTTTGGACAATACAATGTACAAATGGGCTTTTGAACGCCAACAACTGAAGGTAGATCACCATACCAGGGTCCATGGGGACTTACATTACTTTTGCTACCTGCATGGACCCTAGTTGGATTTACACCATCCCTTCAGCCATTGGCGTTTACACTGAGATTTAGCCATACATTAAAATGACAAAAATACTACGATTTAAAACCCGGTAGACATAAATTTACTTGAAATGTTTTGGGACTTACGTACCCTCTCAGGAGGACACTATTTTTACGCTACGTCAACCCCCTCTGAAGGTACAGCCACTCACAAATCTAGTTTCTAATTTAAATCACCATACTAAAAATGCATTTATCTACAAAATACATGAATCAAAATTCATCTGTTAGTTCTATTATCACAAGAAGAATAAAGACGTTTAAGGTGGCGTGTACTAGTATTCGAATGACACATTAAAACTGAAGTCACCTACCCTGGGAGAAAAGCTCCTCCAGACCTCGGATAAACTCATCATGACTAACAACCGAATCACCTGAAGCACACAAAAAGCAAACATCGGAAGATTGCTATGAGTATAGCAAATGAACGAGGAATACATAAGGTTATAATCCAACTCAAAACCTTACTCAAATTTTAATCAGATACTTGTACAATCAATGGCGACAAACCGATTTTGGAACATATTGGGCATGTCTTGTATAACAGGAAGTATCCTTATGTCTGTTTCCGATCCGCATGGGAATCACACACACTTGGCTGGCTTAAAACTGTATCTGGTTCGTTCTTACCGTCCATGTCAGCCATTTGCAGGATTTGTTCTGCATCACGCTTGTCGAAGAGATTCTCAGCTTCTGATTGGTCAATGTTCCCATCCTCATTCAAGTCAGCAGTGGCAAGGTCATCTTGTACATCTGGAACATATACGACAGTTTACATTTACACCTTCTCTGACTGATCAATGTGTTTTATTCAATATAAACACTTCTCATAGTTACGCATAGTCCCTGATTTTAGTAGAAATAACCACTTTCATTGAATGAATGTTATGTTGTATGTTGTATGAAATTTGCTTTGAAAACAAAGAAGATAGTATTTGATGTAAAACGTTGTCTTCCTCTTGCCATCAGTTACTTATTAAACTATATAATATGCAACAACTATTCTGTGGAGAATACAAAACAATATGGATGCTGGTAAAGCATATTCTCTTTCTGTTCACAACTACATGTGGGTTATTTATAACAGTGATTGCAGATACAAAAAGGGTAATAGACGCTTTGACAATGGTCCCTTTTTTGACTAGACAGTCAAAGTTCAGCTGAGTTATCGTAACTCATATTTACAGTTACAGATCGGATGATTGTCAACATAACCATCGTCTTACCTCTCTTTCCTATCAGTCCCAATCTCGCAGCAACACCAAGACCAGTGATAACTTTTCTGCCTCTGATACGGAGCCATCTGCGTCGACGACGACGGAACAGACCCTCCGTTGGGAGAACAATCAAAGCAATCAGGAGGAATACCACGATGAGTCTCATCTAGAAAATTGAAGCAAACATCCAGTGATGAATAGTAAGCACAATAACAGTGGACTCAACAAACTGCTTGCACAACGACCTGTGCACAGAACAGATTGCTGTATCTATGACTGTGTTACTTTCTTCTGCTGTCGAACAGATGGATAGAAAATGTTCTCATCATTCAATTCATGTTTCGACATTTCAGTACTTTTGCCCGGACAGTCATTGACAGAAAATGCTTTTCCCATTTCGGTTCAAGTGAAGAATGGTTCGATATTTTTTAATTTGCGTCGGACAGTCTGAGCCCGAGAATAACAACCGAAATGGTACATTCACTGTGAGACTAAGAATTATTATGCAAACACAGGGCTGTTTGCATTTTACATCCAACCTCGAGGAAGGAAAAAATGCATAAGAATAAACATCATCAATGGAATTTGTCTTACAGAGTCGTTGACGAACACTTGTCTCCTAAATACTTTGAGCTACGAAAGAGTCTAAAGATTGACTTACCTTCAAGAGAATCTCGAATCTGGATGCTTGGACTCAATGCTGAGTGGATTATATAGAACGTGCATGATCACTTTCACAGCTGAGGTGTTTAATGTAATAAATGATGGATACAATTTTTAACACCACATCACACACCACAATATGTGACAAATAAGCACTGTTTAATTAATGGCATCAAGCTATCAGTTAGTACATGTGATTTATGTTCATGTCAACACATGGAATTGTGTCGTCTTATTTCACCAAAAAACTATTATTATAATATGCAAAGATCTGTGTTTCTGAATGATGATTAAATATGCTCCGATTGTTTAACCTTATGATCTTTGATGAAAACTATTTACACATAGTAAAGATGATTTCAACAGTTGCAGTCCACTAGTTCTACCTTTGCATCTGCCAACATTCTGTTAACTTATGTATTCTGTAGCCCTTGTTACTTAGATATTTATATTTTGCATTTTTTAAATTAATTTTCCATAAATTCGACATGTAATTTTAAACTGACAATTCATAAACAAAATGTATGAGTACTGATTTATTCACAACGGTGAAAATGTCAATCATGAATTTCCTGGATATTTTGAAGGGAATTACTTATCCAGTTAAGTTGTAACTCACTTAGAGTTGTGTCAGGTGTCGACGGGTGACGGTGTTGTTGTCAAGGAAGTCACAGGTCACGCACCTGATATCAAATATGCTGTCCAGCAGGATATTAGATCAGTATCATCTGATCTGATGATTAACTGATCACATCAAATGGTTGTCACATGAATAACTCAATAGCAAATTGCGAATTACAAACGATCGTCAGAGTTTAGTTAATACACAGATACATGTACTTAAATAGTTTAATGTTTATGCGTTAGTCAGTTCTACAGATTTCTAAAACTAAGTTACACTTGGACATATTTCACCAAAGTCAACAATACATATTAAAATTGTCTGTTACACGACAATGGGATCAAATCAGTGTTTGAAGTTTGTATACAGTGTGTGGAACCTACGTCACAGAGGTGATAGTGTGTAGGTGAAAACATTTACATTGATAAATAACTGTTCATTTATTTCTGTGTGGATTTCTACAATGTATGGTATTTCCACTAAATAAGACAAGAGCGCGTTGCTGTACCCGCTGCAACAAAATAAAGCTATAGACGGATTAAAATAGAAACACAGAAGAAGAAAAACCTGAATAATTTGGGGCGTGTTGAGTGGATAATCAAATGTTCACAATGTTAGAAACTCACTAAATACTCTGTAACCGAATTATATGATTAAGAAAACCTAAACTGACTGACTGAGTTTGGTTTTACGCCGCTTTTAGCAATATTCCAGCAACATCACGGCGGGGGACACCAGAAATGGGCTTCACACATTGTACCCATGTGGGGATTCGAACCCGGGTCTTCGGCGCGACGAGCCAACGCTTTAACCATTAGGCTACCCCACCGCCCCAAGAAAACCTAAAGGTTAATTTATCCTGTCAATAGCATGTCAAAGAAGCTCCAGTGCTATCTGTTTCATTCTGTACATAACTTGTTAAATTAATCAACCTGAGTACTGATGCTTTTGCCAAAGTTATACTTGGAGATGTATTTAATTGCAAGTACTGAACATTGTCGTGGCATCAACAATGTACAAGTTATATATCATCTGAAATTCGACTTTGGAATCTTTACTCCTCTAATAGGATGTGGAATAGTAAGTAGAACATGATTGTTGACGACAAAACGTGGTAGAGGTAGAAGTTGTCATCACGGGGAGTATCTATCGAATTTAGTATTTGAAACATATATATTTTAGGTAACTGGATATTAAGTAATTCCCCACCAAACATCCAGACACTTCAAGGATGACATTTGAACCGTACTGGATTAATTGATATGGATATCAAATTGCGAAATTATGGAAAAGAAAGAAATGTGCAAAATATAAATTGCAGAATTTTTTGCGGATGTAAAGGTATAACCAGACGACTGCAACTAATGATATCCTCTGAACAGTCTAGGTAGTTTTCATCAAAGCCTTGAATAAAAAATGTGCCATTTGTAACAGAATGTATCGGAGGTTAAAGAATGTAATATGTTTTCCATACTGTTAAGAAATTTTGTAAAACATTCAGTTGTGTATATTTCAAATACAAACGAAGAATTTACAACTTTTTAAGAAATAGTGTTGCCAGTAGCTTGACCCTTCACTAATGACGCTGAGTATAGCTTATTTTGAGTTAGGAAAAACACCATCCTTTGTGTTGAAGTGAACATAAATAACTTATAGTCGCTGATAGGTTGATGTCATTAATTGAACAGTCCGCATTAGTCACATCTGCAGCATCTGATGTGGTGTTAAAAATAGTATCCATCATTTATCACATTAGACACCTCAACTGTGAAAGTGATCATGTACATTCTATATAACCCAGTCAGCATTGAGTCCCTGGCATCCAAATTCGAGATTCGCTTTAAGGTAAGTCTAATTTTAAGCTCTTTGAGACCTCATAGTTAACAGTGTTTTAGAGACAAGACTTAGTGTTCGTCACCGATTCTGTTAAGAAATGTATTCTTTTGCGTTATTTCCGTACTTGACGTTGACAATGTTAAATGCAAACAGTTCTGTATTTGTATATTGATTCTCAGTTGCGCAGTAAATGTAACTGTTCGGTTGTCATTCTCGGATTCAGACCGTTCCACGCAAACTACTAAAATGCTGAACCATGAATTAAATGATTAAGAACATTTTCTGTCCATCTGTGTCATGGGACAGTAATACAGTCACTGATACAGCTGTCTGTTTAGTGTCCCAATGCAGGTCGTTGTGCAAGGAGTTTGTTGAGTCCCCTGTTATTGTGATTCCTATAAATCACTGGATGTTTCCACTCATTGTCTAGATGAGACTGCTCGTTGTATTCCTCCTGATTGCTTTGATTGTTCTCCCCACGGAGGGGCTGTTCCGTCGTCGTCGACGACGCAGATGGCTCCGTATCAGAGGCAGAAAAGTCATCACTGGTCTTGGCGTTGCTGCGAGATTGGGACTGATAGGAAAGAGAGGTAAGACGATGGTAATGTCGAGTTGAGTTCAGTTGGGCTTTACGTCACATCGGCATTATTTCAGCCATATAGTGACGAGATCAAGTCTGCATTCATGTATATTTGATGGTAATGTTGACAACTATGAATTACGATAACGCAGCTGACTTTCAAGATTGTCTCGTCAAAGAATCACTGTTATAAATTACCTGTATCTAGTTGTGAAGAGAAAGGGAAATAATAATGCTTTACCAGCACCTGTATTGTTTTGTTTTCTACACAGAATGGTTGTACATTATATAGGTATATAATGAGCTTATGGCTAGAAGAAGGCAACCTTTTACATCAATTGATTTCTTCAATCTTTTTTAAAAACAAAAACAACTTATAATGAAAGAAATTCAAAACACATCATACATCATGCCATTCACTTAATGCAAATTGGTGTTTCCACTCAAATCAGGGTAGTGTTCGTTATGATGAGAAGTGTTCACATTATCTAAAATACATTGATCAGTAAACTGTCGTGTATGTGCCAGATGTACAAGATGACCTTGCCTCAGCTGATCTGGATCAGGATGGGAACATCGACCAATCAGAAGCTGAGAATCTCTTCGACGAGCGTGATGCAGAACAAATCCTGCAAATGGCTGACGTGGACGGTAAGTACGAATCAGGTACAGTTTTAAGCCAGCCACGTGTGTTCGGATCGGAAACAGACATAAGGACACTTCCTGGTATGCAAGACATCCCCAGTATGTTTCAAAAAGGGCTTGTAGCCGTTGATTGTACGATTATCAAAAACATAATTTGAGCAATCTTTCATTTGCTATACTAATAATCATCCTATGTTTCCTCTTTGTGCGTTTCAGGTGATTCAGTTGTTAGTCACGATGAGTTTATCCGAGGATTGGAAGAGCTTTTCTCTCAGGGTGAGTGACTGGCATTTATTGTTACATCCTAATACATGTCACCTTAAATGTCGTCGTTTTTCTTCTAGGGATGGTAATTAGCAAATGATCACATCTTTATCTGCGCATATTCTTTGTTTCAGATGCTGAATAAATATTTGAAAACAAGAGCGTTTATAGATGTAATATGATGTTTGGAAATAAATATTTGCAAGATAATGTCGTGTGTATAATCTGTATGCCTGTGCATTCATACTAAACTGTATATTCCACTTCAATCTCTACAGGTTTCATTATGAAACGTTCCTTAAATTATTATCTACATTGGTATTACACTCTATTAAGAAAAATACTTTATTTAAAACGTTAGGGTATTTCCAATTCGTGGAAAACCAAGTTACATGACTGGATTGGGATTTAGAACTTGATTATAAAATTCCCGATAGCAAACACAGTAGCTTCGTGCATTGGTTTTCCTTGTGCACGTGAACATGTCGGAGTAGCATCCAAAATTCACTGTGAAGCATGTGAGTGATATAAAACAGCGTACTTCTAATGTGTTGTTATACACTCAATTGAACGGTTTTGACATGTTGTGTCTGTCACGCAAGGAACGGCTACCTTAAATGACATGTTGAAAGTTGGAACAAGACAGAGCATTGTCGCTCGATCTCTAAACGTTTGACAATCAGTAGGTATTAGATTACACTCACGATAAGACAGACAAATAACGTTTGTGACAGACGCATTCCTGATCGACTAACGACAGGCTCCCAGATGAGATCACCGTAAATGGCTGAACATCTTTGCCTATTATTTACGGGGGTGTCAATTGGCACTACTATCGTGACAACATCCTTGATTCATACGTGATGCCATTTGCGCATCGACATTGACACCAAGAGCACACAAGGTTACTGATTACCTCCTACAAGAGAACATAACCACCAGCACTTAGTCAAGACGTATCACCGATCAAAGATGTCTGGGATGTCTTTGGACGGTGTGTAAGTCACCGTCAAGAATCGCATACCACTTTTAACAAACTTGGTGCCGCCAAGCAGGAATAATGGGATGTAATTGGCCAAGTTGACATTGGAAGTTTGAGTTAGATGAACGTTATAAGCCTGGTCACGACAAGAGGCATGAATTGAACAACAATAACACTTCAAGGGTTTGTTTGGTTGTGATCCACAATCTCCGTGAACACATAAGGTTGTTATTTGATACCATGTCTAAATTGGAATCTAAACTGACAGAGATTTCTTCTTCCAGGGAAACAATGCCTAGCAAATATTCAGTCCGCGAATGCTCTGTTACGTAATATATCCATCAGTTGTGTGAATGTCTCCTCTACACATTGTTAAGGTTTAGGATCAACGTCCAGTGTCAGGCTTATCCATATTGTATGAGTAATACACTGACTAATTTTATTCCTGTAATGATATTGGCGATACAAATATGATACGTAAGTGTATATATAGAACACCGAGAAAATATTTCTCAGGCGTTTCTTCTGTTCTGATGTTAAATCTCCGTTGGATACACATAACCTGAAACTGATCAATATCCAGTTATACAATTTGAAAAATCCAGCCAAATGTAACTTGCTGTGTCATCAAAATAGATACATTATATTATGGTATAAGTACTTAATACTTATGCTCGAAGCTTGGATTGCTCACCTACGTACTTTACTTTTGAGTAGTTGAGAGTAATTTCACAGTGTACTTCTTTTATCTAACAAAATGTTTGTCCCAATTCTGAATTAGTTTTGTATTCAGTAGCAGTGGATGAGCTGGGGTGTATGCTAACTATGACATGTTTGAAACACGTGACACGATCGCTTGCTTTGATATTTAGGTCAAATATTTTGGACATATTGTCACTTGAGATCAGAGACTTTACATAATCTTTATTTGTTCGCAATTTGTAGAATATCACTGTCTTATTGAATGCACTTGAAATTTATTTCGTTAGAAAGTTGAAGCTGTCTGACAGTTGAATGTTCAGAACACATTATTCTATTATTCTAAGGTCAGGTATACTGCAACAGATAAAATAAAGCAAATAATGTTTGGATGCACACGTCAGGGGTTCCTGTCCACTCCTCCTGAAGCGCTCTCCACGTTCGGCGTTTAACGAAGGCGTATCCTGATCATGTCCACGTGTGCTCCATGGTGGAAAGGTTAGGACTCATGGCAAACCCATTACATTTTCTTAAATTCTGGGTCGCAGAGAACAAGTTTAAGAATTGGTTTTAACCTACATGTGTATTGAACTGAAACGTCATGTTTACAATGTCCTACATTCTACAACAGGATGATAATCGTATCATCACAGAAGAGTGTGGCCATATTCTCTCATTGTGGGATCATTTGAAAATCTAGTGCATATGGATTGAAATGTACGGACGGCTGGAACCTTTACAAATTAAGTCAAAAGTCAATCGAATACGATATTTATATATTCTCTACAGTCATAATACTGATGCGGAAAAAGTGGAAAGTGTTATGTAACTCCTCTTTAAGTAATTTACAAAGGATTAATAACTTGTTTGAGTAGTTCATCACTAATGGCTAACTGTGCAGTTATGTTGTTCCTTAAATGTCCTTAAACCTCACACATAAATGTCGTTTTCTGATTGGCTGAGCACTTTTCTGATTTTTTTCCAGCGTATCCCGCTTACAAGCGAGTAACATTTTCTATGTTACCCGCTGGAAATGCCGAACTGTGGGAATTCATTTGGTACTTCGTGATAGTAATTCTTTATCTCGACTAATGAAGTCATATTTGATGTACGGAAATTTCCGATGTTTTGCGAATGCAAATCGATGAAAGGAGTTAACTCTGAATTTTTTTTCTTGTATGCTGCTAGATTTGGTGTCATCGGTATTGCCTAATTGCCTAACTCTGTTACTCCTTATTATGATCCGATACCCGTGCTTCTGAGTTCAAAATTAAATGCGTTGTGCACTGGTCCCTATGTACGTTTGTGAACAACGTATAATGTGCTAGATAAGTGATCAATTCTCTATTTAGCTTAATCCTACAAGCATGGTTAAGTTTGTCTGCTGTAACATCTTACAATGATTCCATAGGAAGACATGTCATGATCAGTCAGATGAATGGGAGGTCAAGTTCATTTTCAAAAAGGCAATAAACCTAGAAGTGAATACAATATGTTCTCAGGAAGGAACTGTATATAAAGATGTAGACATCCTTCTCTTGTGTAAGACTTTGTAGTTTGTTGCTTGTTGTTTTACGGATTGTCAAAGTAATTTTAAAATGACAATATAAAAACACTTTGTTGCGTACTTTTTTATTTGCAAATTTCCAGAAGAATTGCTCAGGTGTGTTTTCATCCTCTTGTACTTGTATCGAAGTATCTACTCAGCATCTATAAGAGAAAAATCAACATACAGAGAAGGAAGTGGGGAGTTTAGTTTTATGCCCAACTCAGCAATATTACAGCTATATGCCAGAGGTATGTAATAATCATCTGGACCAGACAGTCCAGTGATCAACGGCACTAGCATCGACTTATGCAAACGGGATACCATGACATGTGTCAACCAAGTCAGCGAGCCTGACCACCCGATCCCGTTAACCGCCTCTTACGACAAGCAAGGGTTACTGAAGATCAATTCTAACCCTATCTTCACGGGTCAGGAAGTGGTAGGCATATGAGTTATATACGATGAAATAGAACAAAGCTCACCTTGAGAGAAAAGGTCTGCCACTCCTCGGATGAACTCATCATGACTGACAACTGAGTCACCTGAAACATGACAGCGAGACAATGACAAAGAAAACGACAGGCTTATTACAATTTACAACGCGTCATATTACAATTTCTAACCCTTCGACGTTATGAAATAAACAAGGCAGTTCAAGATCTATGTTACGCTGATTAAGGAATCGTTATGTCGCCTACTCACAGGATATTTTCAGCACGCAAAAACATGTTATTCTTTTGTGCACTTGCCCACTGTATCAATATTGTTTTGGATTTGTCAGATTTCCAAAATTCACAAAATAATTGTAATCAGTTCAATCAATGGCACACACGTGGCTGGCTTAAAACTGTACCTGGTTCGTACTTACCGTCCATGTCAGCCATTTGCAGGATTTGTTCTGCATCGCGCTCGTCGAAGAGATTCTCAGCTTCTGATTGGTCAATGTTCCCATCCTGATTCAGATCAGCAGAAGCAAGGCCATCTTGTACATCTGGAACATACACGACAGTTTCATTTAAACCTTGGCGGACTGATCAATGTGTTTAGTTACTGTAACCACCTCTCATCTCTGATTGGTCGAAATAACAATTTGCATTGCATGTTGTTAATGGAATTTGTTTCATTAATTTGTTTCGTTTCTTTTATGAAAGATAAATGATATCCTTTCATGCAAAACGTTCCCTTTTTCTTATCACACGATCAGTATTTAACTATACGGTATGCCCAACTACTCTGTGAAGAAAACACAACAATATAGGTGCTGGTAAAGCATATTCTCTTTCTGTCAAACGTATAGGTAATTCATATCAGTGAATGTAGATACAAAAAGGTAACAAACGCTTTGAAACGGACCCTTCTTTGACTAGATATCGTCAAAAGGTTACAGAAATTCGTAGTTACAGTTACAGATCGGATGGTTGTCAACATTACCATCGTCTTACCTCTCTTTCCTATCAGTCCCAATCTCGCAGCAACGCCAAGACCAGTGATAACTTTTCTGCCTCTGATACGGAGCCATCTGCGTCGTCGACGACGACGGAACAGACCCTCCGTTGGGAGAACAATCAAAGCCACCAAGAGTAATACCACGAGCAGTCTCATCTAGACAATTGAAGCAAACATCCAGAGATTACATGTATAGGAATCACAATAACAGTGGACTCAACAAACTGCCTGCATAACGAGATGGGGACGCTAAACATATTGCTGTATCTTTGTTGTATTACGTGTTTTCGCTATTAAACAGGTTCACACCCATAGCCCCTACACTCTCATTTCACCTACAACCCAGTTCACCTACACTTAATCAATGCATATTTTCGCAGTACCCCTATACTTTGATCTGGTTCTACCCAACTAACAAGTGGACTCACCCAATTAACAAACGGGCTTGGCTCATTTCTGAAGAAACTTGGGTCTTGATATAGACTATGAGCATATTAAGCTTTGATTTCTCAGTAACACAATTGATTTTGTATTTTTAGCAACTTTACATTCTTATACTATTACATTAATATTTGATGGTACAATCCATTTTAATATTTATGTGCATTTTATAGATATTGTTAAAATGAGAAAAATATATACATGTCAATGTAAATGACATACGATACCTTTTAGCAGGTGCGAATTATTTATAAACTTCTTTTGTCCACAAATAAATTATATATACCGTATAAGTTAAATATATTGTTTGTACAGATTGAAAGAGTCCATTTTATACGGGAAGGTGTAAATCATCTACAGTGTTAATTGAAGACAACCCCCCACCCCCCACCCTCACTCCTATTACCCCTACACCTTTTGATCCCAAAAAGTGTAGGTGAATAATTGAGTGTGTAGGGGTAGTAGGGGACGCATAAAACAGATGAACAGAAGATGCTCTCATCATTTAATTCATGGTTCGACTTTACATTACTTTTGCGAGGAGACCGCCTCCGTGGTGTAGTGGTTAGAGCGTCCGCCCGAATAGCGGAAGGTCGCGGGTTAAATCCCCGACCGCGTCACGCCAAAAGACGTTAAAATATGGTACTTGTTGGCCCCTGTCTGGCGCTCGGCATTAATGGGTACAACAAGGACTGGTCGGCTCGGAGTCAGTATACTGTGTCTGAGTGGGGTATTCATGCTTCACTGCGGCATGGTATCTCAGTGGGCTAGCACTATAAAACCAGCTTAAGTCTGGGCTAGTACAAGCAGCCGCACATACACATACACACGCATGCACGTCGTCATATGAGCGAAATATTCTCAAGCACGACGTTAACCCAATTTCACCTCACCTCACTTTTGCGAGGACAGTGGTGGAAAGAAAATGCTGTGATCATTTGGGTTCTTTGTGAGGATGGTATAGGACGGTCTGAAGCCGAGAACAACAACCGAAAACGTGAGACTGAGAATCATAGACACACACAGGGTTGTTAACATATAACATTTGCAACTTAATGCAAAGAAAAACACATCATGAATGAAGATCTCTTAACAGAGTCGTTGACGAGCACTTGTTTCCAAAATACTGTTCGAGCTTGAGCTTGCAAAGAGCGTAAAGACTGACTTACCTTCAAGGGAATCTCGAATGTGGATGCCAGGAACACAATGCTGAGTGGGTTATATAGAATGTTCATGATCACTTTCACAGCTGAGGTGTTTAATGTAATAAATGATGGATGTTATTTCTAACACCACATCACACACCACAATATGTGACTAATAAGGACTGTTTAATTAATGGCACCAAGCTATCAATAATAAGTATAAGTTATCTATGTTCATGTCAACACAAACAACTGCATTATAATAGGCAAAAATAAATAAATAAATGATAATTACATATGCTCAGATTGTTTAACCATATCATCATAATGAAGACTACCTACAAATAGTTCAGATCATATCAGTAGTGTTCAGTCCTCTTATTCTACCTCTTACATCTGCCAACATTCTGTTAACTAATCGCTAATATTCTGTAACCCTTCTTGCTTTGATCTTTATAAGTTGCTTATGTTTTCATTTTCCCTAAATTCGACATGCAATATTAATAGAAAACATACAGTTTATTAAACAAAATGTATGAATAATGATTAATTTACCACGCTTCAAATGTCAATCATGCTTTATCTTGATATTTTGTAGGAAAATACTTATCTAGTTACCTGTAATACATACATTTCAAATTCAAAGGTTTTTTCATACCAAATGTTTTTAATCTTAGAATATCTGTTATTTTGATTTTTTACTGTAATTGCCAATGGCTGAAGGGATGATGTAAATCCAGCTAGGGTCCATGCAGGCAGTAAAGGTACTGTAAGTCCCATGGTCCCTAGTATGGTGATGTACCTTCAGTTGTTGGCGATCTATAGCCCGTGTTTTATATTGTATTGTCTTGCATAGTTAAGATATGTTAGATTTGTATATTAGTTTTACAATTATATCTGTGATATTTTAGTTATAATTTACCACTCACGCACACACACATACATTTCAAATACTGATGGCAATTGCCCTCAGGCAATGACAAATTTTACCTCAACCATGTTTTGTCGTCAACACGTCAATCAGTTTCTAATACATAATGTCAGAGGTGTCTCAGGTGTTGACGGTTGAATGTGTTATTCTCACGGAAGTCACACGTCACACACGTGATATCAAATATGCTGTCCAGCAGGATATTAGATCAGTATCATCTGATCTACTAATTAACTGATAACATCAGATGCCTGTCACATGAATAACTCAAAAGTGAGTGAGTGGGTTTACGCCTGTTCAGCAAATATTCCAGCAATATCACGGCGGGGGACACCAGAAATGGGCTTCACACATTAAACAGATGTGATGAATAGAATCCGAGCCTTCGGCTTGACGAACGAACTTTAACCACTAAGGCTACCCCACCGATCCAACTCAATAGCAAGTTGCAAGTTACAAACGGTCATCAGAAAGAAAATCAGCTGAGAAAATTGCATGCCAGTCAAAAACGACACATTAGACTTGAATTATGTCATTTCTGTGTGCTCTTGGGTAGAAGCAGTTATTTTCAATTAAAATACATTGTGGCTGTCGTATACATTAGATTCGCTATGATCATTTTAAATGAATTAAACGTACAGAAAATGTACTTTCATTTTAAATGTGAGTTTTATGCTTTAGTCAATTCTACAGATTTCTAAAACTGAGTTACACTTGGACATATTTTCACATTTGATATATCTCTATGGTCACGTCAATCACCAATACATGTTTGAACGTTCCTGTGAGGAATTTAAAACTAACATTTACAGAATTATTTGAGTCGGTTACATGGCAATGTAATCTGATTAATGTTCGAAATATGGCTACAATATGTGGAACTTACGTCGCAAAGGTGATACTGTGAGGAGAGAGAGAGGGGGGGGAGAGGGAGAGGAGAGAGAGAGGAGAGAGAGAGAGAGAGAGAGAGAGAGAGAGAGAGAGAGAGAGAGAGAGAGAGAGAGAGAGAGAGAGAGAGAGAGAGAGAGAGAGAGAGAGAGAGAGAGAGAGAGAGAGAGAGAGAGAGAGAGAGAGAGAGAGAGAGAGAGAGAGAGAGAGCACAAACTCTATTGTGCCTTTATCGACTTTACAAAGGTTTCGATACTGTTTGGCGATTGGGATTGTGGACAAAAAACGCAAATGGTTGGTATAGAGGGTAACTTCCCGAATCTTGTTAAATCATTGTATAACAATATCAAATCACTTGTACAATGTAATAATGACGAATCAAACTACTTCTCATGTACTTCTCATGACGTCAGACGGGGAAAACCTGTCACCATTATTATTCTCTATTTTCATAAATGATATTGAATGTCATTTACCATCCATGTCAGGACCATCAAAATGCATAAAAGTTAAGTTTCATTTGGATGGCGATTTACTTGAAATAGTTCATAGTTAAACCTACCTCGGTATAACGCTCAATTGAAATAGGAAACTCGTATCAAGTATGAAACTGTAGGCAATAGTGCTTCAAAAGCAATGTATAGTTTAGTGAAAAAAGCTAGAAGGTTAGGTTTGCCTCCAGACTGTTTATTGTTAGCATTTGACTTAATGGTAATAATTATCTTGGCCTGTGGTGCAGAACTCGGGTATTTCGAAAGCATTGACATTTTGGAGAAAATTCATTTAAAATTCCTGAGACTCATTACAGGATTCAGAAATTAAATCATTACAGTATTTAGAACTAGGAAGATTCCCCATTAGAATTATGATACATAAACGTTTGGCGCAAGTTAACTTACCAAGAAGGTTTATTTAAGCTTACCAACTTAATTTACAATTATTTACCACATCAAAGAACAATAAATAAAAAAGATAATCCCTGGCTCTCGCACGTAAAAATATATTAGACAATACTGGACTATCGTATGGTTTTCAAAATCCCTCAACGTGTACAACCCAGTGGTTGGTCTCAAAAGTTGAACACATTCTTATCGATCAATTTATCCAAAACTGGCAAAAAGACATTATTTCTAGTCCCAAGGGAATTTACTATCAACACCTGAAGCCATTTCCTAATTTTGATGCATATGTACTCCTTCCAAAACGTATTTCTTTATTGAGATTTAGAACAAATAACCATAGTTTACCTATTGAGGTGAGGTGAGGTGAAATTGGGTTTAACGTCGTACTTGAGAATATTTCGCTCATATGACGACGTGCATGCGTGTGTATGTGTACGTGCGGCTTCTTGTACTACCTCAGATTTAAGTTGGTTTTGTAGTGCTAGCTCACTCAGATACCATGCCGCAGTTAAGCATGAATACCCCACATTATACCGACTCCGAGTCGACCAGTCCTTGTTGTACCCATTAATGACGAGCGCCTGACAGGGGCCAGCAAGTACCATATTTTAACGTCTTTTGGTATGACGCGGCCGGGGATCGAACCCGCGACCTTCCGCTCTCCGGGCGGACGCTCTAACCACTACACCACGGAGGCGGTTTTACCTATTGAGACGAGTCGCTGGTATAATATTCCAAGGGACGAGAGAACGTGTTTATGCACTTCTAAAAGCATCGCAGATGAATAAACATTTTTCATAGCAAAGCACTAGATACTTTGAAGAAACAATATTTACCCACCCATCTAACCTCTTTTCCCAATAAAACAAAGTTTACAAAAATATTATCTGCAAAAACATCTCGAGACATAGTAAATTTATCAAACTATATCATACATCTATCATCTCTTGTCAGAAAAAACAGTTAATATGTTGTTTTCCTTTGTTTGTCTGTCATCTTGAATTTGTATTTGTATATATGTAAACAATATATGATCTTGTACCACCAAGGTGGTTTATGAGAATGAAGAATTGACTTGAATTGAATTGTCAGCTCCTCAGTGTGCGAAATAGACACAGTTCCGTTTGCCCGTGGGTACTAAAATCCAGTCAGGTCAGTAAATCTCTACAGTCACTGGTCTGACTGGCTAGTGAATTTTTCATGGGGTCATTTTGAGAATATATCACTCCTCCCGACTGGCTAAGTTATAATACACTTTTAAGTCGTGCAAGATTATGGAATGATAAAACTGTTCATCATATTAGCAGTTTAATGATGAAACTTGTGTCATGCCGACAATATCTTATTCTCATTTATTTTTGCTATCTTTTGCTTAGTTTCTACACTCAAATTTCGGGCTATGGAATTATTTTGTGGGATAGGATCTGGATAAGACAATCCAGTGATGAACATCATGAGCATCGATCTACCTAGTTGACCAACCGATCCCGTTAGTCGCCTCTTATGACAAGCATGGGTTGCTGAAGACCTATTCTAACCCGGATCTTCACGGGTCAGGTTAGATTACAAACAACACAACATGGTTTATGACACTACGATGGGCTATAGCCAGTAGGATTCTGTTTCAATCTTTCTTCAGAAACGTCAGTTTGTCATAAGCAAAGCTTGACTCTACCGTTTCATGAAACAATAAACCAAAATAATACAATTTATCATATGATTTATATCGTTAATTTAAATGTTCAAAACAATTCTTTCTTCCTTAAGTCTGTTAAAACATCCTTTACCATATGCTTATAACTGACACGAATTATATTGCTTTGAAACCTGATTGGGGGTTAATATTTGTGGAACTTATATCTGTAACTTACAAGTTTCCTCTTTTACGATGCAGTCAACAACACAGAGGCGCGTTAAAAAGTCGAGAGATATCCGTAATACAAAATACAGATCTCTTTAATTCCAGTACCGAAGAGGCCATATGTCTATACTACAAGGGGCGCTGGGGTAGCCTAGTGGTTGAAGCGTTCACTCGTCACGCCGAAGACCCGGGTTCGATTCTCCACATGGGTACGATGTGTGAAGCCAATTTCTGGTGTCCCCCGCCGTGATACAGCTGGAATATTGCTAAAAGCGTCGTAAAACCATACTCACTCACTCACACTATACTACAAAGTATAAGTATAATGGCATGCAATCACAATGTTTGGTGACGGGATTTTCTTGATGCAAAACAGTGGTGGGCATACATACGAATATTACTTGTATTATTAGTGTTAGCGTTATCATTATTAAATATTAACACTAATATCAGTGATAAATATCATATGTCCCTCGTTTTTTTAGTCCTAGGTATCTATTCTACCCAA